TGTTCTTCTTTCCACTCAAAGGCAACATCATCTCTTGTGAGGCGAGTTAGTGGCGACGCGATGCGGGCGAAGTCTGCGATAAACCGGCGATAATAGGCACAAAGGCCTAGGAAGCGCCTGACAGCCTTCTTATTGGAGGGTACTGGGAACTGTGCGACGGCGGCAATTTTTCCAGGATTGGGCTGGACGCCTGCGTTGCTGACGACGTGACCGAGAAACTGAAGTTTGTGAAAACAGAAATAGCACTTTTCTGGTTTCAATGTTAGGCCCGCGAACCGTATGGCACGTAAAACAACTTCCGGCCTTTTGAGATGCTCGTCAAAAGTGGTCGAAAACACTGTAACGTCGTCCAGATAGACTAGGCACGTCTTCCACTTCAATCCCGAAAGTACCGTGTCCATAAGCCTTTGAAAAGTTGCGGGCGTGGAGCACAAACCGAAAGGCAAGACTTTAAATTCGTATAAACCATCTGGGGTCACAAAAGCGGTTTTCTCTCGGTCTCTTGGGTCTACCTCGATCTGCCAGTAACCACTCCTCAGGTCCATGGAAGAAAAGTAGGGAGCGTGCCGAAGTCTGTCAAGGGAGTCATCAATACGTGGGAGCGGGTACACATCTTTCTTGGTCCCCTGATTCAGCTTCCTGTAGTCCACGCAAAAACGCAGGGTGCCGTCTTTTTCTTTACTAGCACTACAGGCGATGCCCAGGGGCTCTGCGACGGTTGAATGACGTCATCTGCAAGCATTTTCGCGACTTGTTGTTGTATGGCTTCGCGTTCCTTTGAAGCTACACGATAAGGGTTCTGGTGAATAGGTCTCACCGTGTCCTCAGTGATTATTCGGGGCTTTGTCAAAGGTGTTCGACCAACTCGTGATGTCGTTGAAAAGCAGTCGCGGAATTCGGCTAGCAGCTGAAGAAGTCTCTGTCGCTCGTCCTTTGACAGAGTGGTGCCAACATCGAGAATGGGTTCTGGTTCTTGATTAGGCTCTTCGTCCAATACCGACAAACATAAACTGCCTCGCATTTCTACAATATTGTCGTACGAAGCGATAGCTGTGCCCTTCGGAAGGTGCCGGCGCTCAGCACTAAAGTTCGTCAGAAGTAAATTCGTGCGTCCACCAGTGAGACGGACAATACCTCGTGCGACCAAAATGCCATGACTAAATAGCAGCGAGCCAATTTAGTCAGCAATTCCTTCGCCATCAAACGCGTCGTCGCCTTCTACTGAAACAAGAGTGCATGACCGGGGCGGGACGACCACATCATCATCAATTATACGTAAAGTGTTGCTTATTGCGTCTGAACAGTCAACTAAACCAGGGCTGTTGCGGTATGTAATTGAACGGTCCAGGATGTTGATGACGGCACCATATTCTCTTAAAAAGTCCATCCCTATGATCAAGTCCTTGCAACACGAGGTGAGGATGACGAACGTCGCCACGAAAGAAGAGCCACCGATGTCGAGTCTTGCTGTACACCTTCCGACAGGCATCAACAGCTGACCGCCTGCTGTCCTCAGGTGAGGTCCCGTCCACGTAGTCTTCACTTTTTTGAGGCGTACGGCAAGGTTTTCACTTATGATAGAAAAGTCGGCGCCGGTGTCAACTAAGGCTGTTACTTGCTGTCCGTCTACCGAAACGGTAAGATCTGTGGTCACAGTTTCGTCGGTGTTACAACTTCTCGGTTTTACGGCGTCCTGTGGTACAAGTAACGGGGGCTTTTTTTCGTCGCCTTGACGGCCTGCAACCTCACCCCCGGAGGTCGCCGCCTTCAGTTTCCCCGGCGTGGACTTGGTGACCTCCTTCCACTGACGTCGGCTGTAGTTCGGAGGCGCGACGAAGGCGAATATGCCGGAGACGGAGAGCGTGGTCGACGTCCCAAACCTGGCTGGTAATCAGGCACACTGTCGTCATTATTGGCACGGCGGTTGTCAAAGTGGGACTGAGACAAGGGGAGTCCTTGAGAATGAGTGTCCCGGCGTGGTGCGTAGCCGTCGTTGGCGCGTCAATCGTCAGACCATTGCCGAAGAGGTCGAAACACATCTACGCGGTGCCAGCAATGGCGGGAAATGTGGCCCACACCTCCGCAAGTAAAACAAAGCGGGCGCCTATCTACAGTGCGCCAGGCGTCTGTTTTACGAAGCTGTGGACGCCGCAACGGCTCGTAATGTGGCAAATGCCGTGTCTCGTTGGGAGACGGCTCTTGGTACGGCGGCATTTCGTACGGCGGTACGACGGCAGGTCGTCGCGGTGTCTGTTCTTGTGGCGACCAAGGAATGGCTGGCGGTACGACGGCGCAACGGGCGGCGGGCGGCGAAGCGCGGCTGCGTAGCTCATAGGTCGCTGATCGTCAGTAGGATCAGCTGTTGAAAACGCTTGGCGTATTTCTTCGCGGACGACTTCAGCGACAGACGCCGTGGGTGGTTCCGTGACCAGATTCCGGAACTTCAGCAGCTCTTCGCGAACAATCTCTCTTATCAAATCGCGCAATGAGCTTTGATTGTCAGATGCCGTAGCGGCGACTTGCATGTGGGCGCTGCTGGACAAGCGATCGTGTTGTCGGCATCGTAGGTGAAGCGCCCGTTCAATAGCCGTAGCTTCTTTGATGAAGTCTGTCACGGTGCTTGGCGGGTTCCGCAAAAGTCCGGCGAACAGTTGCTCTTTAACGCCGCGCATGAGGTAGCGCAACTTTTTGTCGTCGGTCATGTGCGGGTCAGCTTTACGGAATAGACGTGCCATGTCCTCAGTGAACATTGCGACCGTTTCATTGGGTTTCTGAACCCGTAGCTCGAGTAAATGCTGCGCACGTTCGCGCCGGTCGACATCGGCAAATGTGTCAATCATCCCTCTTTTAAAGTCGCTCCATGATGACAAACTGCCTTCTCTGTTCTCGTACCAAGTTTTAGCGCTGTCGTCGAGATAAAAGTAGGCGCGGGAAAGCCTTTGTTCAAGGGACCACTGGTTGGTGTTAGCGACACGTTCATAGTGATCAAGCCATTCTTCGACGTCTTCATGTGCTCCACCACCAAAGTGATCAGGCACCAGCGGTGAAAAAAAGGTTACCTGAGATGGGGTTGGCAAACTACTGTCTCGTAGTAACTGTTGTGGATTGGCGGTGGTCATCGGTAGATCTGAGCGGTGCTTTGTAGAGTGTTCCTGTGAGAGAGTGAACTCTGGAAGGAGGCCTCGCAAGCGACGACTGAAGCGATGCACGGGAGTGTCGACAAGTGCTTCTGGGCTGGATGAACGGCTCCCCGTGGGAGTGTGGAGCATCAGGCGGGGTCGCGGGCCAGCACCTCCACCAGTGTCGCAGTACAACGCGAACAAAGCACAAGTACGCCTTGAGGCAGTGAAAGCAGCGTGTTCTCAACAGCTGAGGTACACGATCTTCTTCGTTCTCGCGTCAAGCCAGAGGCCCACTACCTGGTGTCCGCTAAATCCCCCCATCATCGTTTTTGTCCATATGTAGACACGGGTCAATATATAAAGAGAGAGAGAGAGAGAAAGAAAGAGGCGCACGAGTCCGAGGACGGGGCACCACTGGCGAGAGCTCTTGTCGGCAACAGCAGATGGCGTAAGGCTAATCCAGTCGGCCATAGCTACGCTGTCGTCGTCGTCGGGGACCGGCGTCAGGAAGTGGCGTAAGACCACCCAGTCGGTCAGAGCTGCACTGTTGTCGGAGATCGCGAGGGCACAACGGTCAGCACGGAATCCAGCAAAGAGGCGAAAGTTGAGCTGACTGATTTCTCAGTAAGAAGAAATTCGATCGGGAACCATCCCAGGGCGGAAACCGAACGAAGTTCGTCTAACTGAGAAATCAGTCAGCTCAACTTTCGCCTCTTCATGAAACTCAAAAAAAATTAGCAAAATTTTACGAATGATCGCATCCTCCAAGCGGCCAGCGGACCTGAAAGAAGGCACGAGCGCATGTCGCTTGTATGCTAAGTGGGAAGGAGGGTGTCACAAACGACTTCAATTTTCGTCTCACCCCCCTGCCCCATCGTCCAAGGAAGGTCGCCTTTGTGTTTGGAACATGACATCCGGCGACTTTTTTCTCTCGGTGTGACCGCTCAACCAAACGCAGCCGTGGCGTCTTACTTGCAATCCGAAAAGATGTCCCATTTTCCTGTATTCCTATTCACGTGGACCTTGAAATAAACTTTTCACGCCTCACTTGATCACCATGAATTAATCCTAGAAGTGTGCTATCGCTCCTCGGATTAACCTTCGTCGTTCATTAATCAACTACCAGATGCTATGAACTTCATTCATGCTCACTTCCCATTTCGTGGCACTCTCAATCACCTTGTGTATAACCGCCCTCTGGCCAGGCTGACGAATTTTTGAACCTGTGTTCTCTGTCACTCACCCAATAACAAATGCAACCAGTCTACGACGGTTTTTAACACTCCCGATTTATTATTTGCAACTAATCCAGATTTTGTGTCTCGTATTGTTCACTTGCCAGGAAATAGTGATCACCTTTTAATTTTCACTTATACGCTCCACATTTTAAAGTTAGAAAGGTAATGATATTAGATTACCAAAGAGCTAACCTTCAGGTTATTAACAGTGAACTCGCCATGTTTCTCGATCACGTCTTGCAGGATTTCGATTACCGGTTGGTTGAAGTTAACTGGAGTTTTTTTTTTTTAACAAAGTGCATGAACTAGCAGATACATATTCCAAAGCGAAGCATCACCACCACCTCAATACATCACCACTAACTTCGTGGCAAACCGACTTCAGATGGCACGCCTATTAGTCGGCCTTGGAGACATTTACAAGCACTGAAATCCCTTGAAAATAACTTCTTGTCATCTACTCTTCGTTCTGTGCTACAGGACAATGTTAAAAAGTTCTAGCCCCTCATATATCCAGTGACAGATTACATTATTGCGATTCAGGACCATAACGGCGACCAAATGCCTAACAATCTGTGCTTCCACATTAAATGACTCTTTTGTTCAATTTTTTTTTGTTTTACATCAAATATGCACTCACCTGATTTGTGTCATGTCGGTTTTCCGCTTATGCATTCAATCTTTATTGATGTATCAGGTATCGGTAAACTAATCGATTCATTACACTCATTACATTATTCGTCTCCTGGTTACGACTCTGTTTGTACTACATTTTTGAAGAGTACTTCTGCCTACAGTTCCATTTTGCTGAAAAAGATCTCTCGCAAATCTCTTGACACATCGAACCTATAAATTGACTGGGAAGCTGGTTCCGCTTCATAAATCTGGCCGCAAAACCTCACCTCCTAATTACAGACCGATTTCACTAACCTGTACATTTCTTGAGCGTGTACTATATAAATAAGGTAGTCATTTAGAAGATAACTCATTGTTCACGCTTGCCCAACATGGTTTTCGCAAAACATACTCATGCGAAACTGGGCTTTCTCATTCACTCATAAACTGCACCACATTGACGAACCATCACGCGCGGGCTGCATACTCTTGGACTTTTCTGAAGCATTTGACCAGGTCTGTCATAAACAGCTACTTCACAAACTCGGCTTTCTTAACCTCGGCCCCAACCTTTTCTGGTGGATTAGGTGCTTGCTTCTCGACCACTTACGATTTGTTAGTGCTAATGGCCATGATTCACCCTTTACTCCCGTAAGTTCTGGGGTGCCAAAAGATTCCGTCCTCGGACTTGTTTTTAATCGACATTAAGGATCTTTCCTCTGATGTCTCCTCGCAGATCTTTCTTTTCGTTGATAACTGCGTGAGCTTTCTCGAAATTAAAACCGATAATGCTACTAACGCTCTCCAATCTGATCTATCTGGTATAACTGGTGCACTAAATGACGAACGCTAACTTTCCTCCTCCCTCTTATTATCTTAGTGGCGTTCCATTACAGCTTAAGTATCCACATTCCATTTATTCTAATTTGTAGTGTGCACGCAGAGTAAATCATCCATGTTAACCGCATGCCACGCTATCTACGCCGCAACATTTCCGCCATATCTTCTTCTGTTCCACTAATACTTTACAAAACCTTACATTGACCAAAGCTAGAATACGCTGCCTGTGTGTTGTGGGACTGCAGATGCAAGCAAAATTGACCCTTCACCCCATTCTTTCTCTCCCATCTTCACGCACGCGTCGGAAAATTGCTTGCCAGAACTTGTTTCGTAATATAGGTATATTATCAATCAACTTCTCACGGTGCATTCCTTCTTCCGCCACGGTATACTCCCCACCGCACAGATCAACGCCATATAGAGTAGGCGCTCTGTTTTCAAGATCGAACACATTCTCCCAATCATTTTCACCACGCACCGCGATCGAGGGGAACCACATTCCAACTGGAATCGCATCAGTCACCGACAATAAACGCTCTCGAGAATCACTATAACCAATGGTATTTAAATATGGAAGCCCGTTTTACTTTAATGTATTTATGTCTGTGTATGTATGTGCGTATATGTATGTGTATGTATATGTATGTGTATGTATGTATATGTATGCATGTACCCCATCTTTTCTGCCAGGAACTTGAACAGTCGGGAAATAGCAGTCAGGCGCTTCTTCATATAGGTCACATGCGGACTCCAACAGAGGTCCCTATCAATAATGATGCCCAGAAACCGCTGGGTTTTGGCGTAAGAAATCGGTCGCCCGCTGATTGAGATGACATAAGGGGTCATTGCTTTAAGAGTGAAGGCCACTGGCGCGCTTTTTTCTGGTGATATGCTGAGACCTTGTTTTAACAAGTAGTTGGCAATCATAGTTGCTGCTTTTTGATGCCGGGAACGTATACGAGGACGTGTGACTGCCGAAGTCCAGACACAGATGTGGTCTGCGTATGTTGAGATTTTAATGGTGCTTGGCAAGTATTCAGCAAGGCCAATGAGTGCAAGATTGAATAGCGTCGGGCTAAGAACTCCGCCTTCAGGAACACCCTTGGAAGTATAGCGTCACGTAGTTGGGCCATCTTCTGTTAACACGAAGAAAATTAAGACGTGGAATAGGTAGGCTTGCCTTAGGAGCTCACGGGAATACACCAAATCAGGGAATACAAGGTGATATAGGATAGACATCATTTGAGGGCAAGGAAGCTAGCAGCAAGATAAAATTTGAGAAGCGATGGAGAGAAATGGGGGAGGAGCGTTGGGCTAGGAAGGTTTTCAGCTACTTGTACATGAAGAATGTCGATACAGAATGGAAAAAGCCAACCAGAAAATTGACTGGAAAATACTAGGAAAACAGCAGGGGGCCAAACCAAAAAGAATTATCGGTTAAAATGAAGGTGAAGGAAGCCGACACCGATATGTGGAGAATTGGCATGATTAAGAAGTCCGCACTAGAGATTTCTCGAACTTTTAAGCAGGAAATTGCCAAGGAAAAGATCAATGATAATACTCGGTGTAGTTCTCTACTGTTTGAGACCAGGAAGGGAGTATTGCGAACCAAGACATATCAGGCCAAATGCGAAGGGGTAGACACAGTGTGCACTGTGTGTGGAGAAAAAGAAGAAACTGCCGAACACTTGATAATGTTCTGTAAAGGGCTTCACCCTATAGTTCAGGATGATGGCGCAGAGTTTTTAAAAGCACTGGGGTTTAGGGAAGGTAGGGAGAAATAGGCTTTAAGCGGGTAGACTTAACTAGAAGGAGGTTATCCGATTGGTGGCGAAAGTTAAGGCACGAGTGAAAATTAATTCCTTCACTGCAAAGTACGAATCCCCAACCCCACTATATTAAGAAAAAAAAAGAGTTAATCTAATGGTTAGTTCACTGAGTATTACGGCTAGGTGGCGTTAGCCGCCGCCCGATCTAAAGGGTACAGCCACATCCATCCATCCATTCATCCAGTCCGTACCTGTTGCCAGTTTTGCTGGGTGCGCTTGTAGTTTTGTGTTTTGCGTGCCCGTTCGGCAATCTGCTCAGATTCTTGCGCTTGTTCGTCGAATACTTCAGTTTACATGCGTAGTAGCATCAAAATCGTTTCACCTTAGTTGTTAAATGCGTGGTACTTTAACCACTAGATCATTCAGAAAAGCTGCCGACCATTTCTGATTTCTAAGTACAGGCATCACACGATATAAATTTGATGGCTATTCAGTCCAAGTTTCCTGATTGCATTAGATGCGGAGATGAGTCAATCATGGTCCATAAATTTACTTTTGATAGAAAGTACCCATGTGACACTCGCATGCTCAATCAAGCCTCGTTATTCGCTTCAATGGCTGCACGAGCGAGGAAAAAACTTTCGACTTTGAGCGTGCGGCTAACACTCCAGGGTTTCTTGGCATGGAGCATTATATGCGGCTGCGGACTAGTTGGTATTTGATACTTGAAACTGCTCAGTGCTAAACACAGCAGCACAAGTTAGACGAGGATTAGCGCCGACATCCAATTGAAACTTATCTCAACTCCCATGTGTTGCCTACACCCGAGATAAAAACAACATGCTTATGCTGAAAACCAAAAAATCGAAGTAAAGCATACAATCACTGAGACCACAAAAAAAAAGCAGTGACATAGAACTAGCCAATAAATCCAGGTAAGCCAGTTCTTTACAGTCTAAAGTATTGAAGGTTCTGGGTGTCATCATGATGATTTATTTATTTGTAGGATTGGACGTCCAGAAACCACCATATGATTATGAGAGACGCCGTAGTGGAGGGCTCCGGAAATTTAGATGTCCGGGGGTTCTTTAACGTGCACCCAAATCTGAGAACACGGACCTATAACATTTCTGCCTCCATCAGAAATGCAGCCGCTGCAGCCGGGATTCAATCCCGCGACCTGCGGGTCAGCAGCCGAATACCTTAGCCACTAGACCACTGCGGCGGGGCACAGGTGCCATCATGAGGATGACTGGTAAGATCTTGTGTTTTCTCAGACAGGTTCTGGCAATCGTTTTCTAATTATGAGAAGCCAAACAAACGTTTCTACCCTTGTACATTACTGTTTGCAAATTTTTCTGTAGCCATCTGGTTAAAAACTTTCCTGTTTGACCAACGCACTGAATAAGCAATCTCAGTTATGTGCTTGAACTAGTGTTGTTGGAAAACCTTTGAACCATAGCCAAGCTCTGCACGGCAAAACATTGTTTACTGTGCAGTAGGCATCGTTTACAGGATACCTTGGTTCTGTGCAGACAGTTGCGAAGGCCAAATAGATGGGTGCCTAAATATAGGGTTGCAGGAATATTGTCCAAAGATAAAAACCATAGAGATGGTTCTTTAGCTTCCGACTGTTGAGAATGTGCTTGCCAACCTCTGTTCGAAAAAACACAAGCTCTTGCAGCTCAACTTTATGATAGCACCAGGATTATCATTGAGGCTGCATGAACAGCTAAAAGAAGCTGGTGAGATTGAACCTTCGATGTTACTATCTGTTAAAGAACTGGCTTACCTGTATTCATCGCCATGTGCTATTTTGCTTTAGTTTTTTTGGTTTGTTTCAGTGCCCTTTGCTTAGTTTTTATCCTCTACCATGCGCATGTTATTATTTTGGGTGGGGGCTATATATTGTATGTTGAATAAAATTTATATTGGAAGCCTTTGCTTGCCTTCGTGACACTGGTGTTGCTTTATCTGTTGACTATTTTCAAATCTTTGTGCAGATGCGTTGTATGCATGTTGATATCAACAGAGCAATAAACTAGAACACAAGAAAAATAAATACACACCACTGCGTCTAGCAACTATCCTAATAAGAAAGCACACCATTGGAAAAAAACCAAAGGTATCGAACTCCCCTGATCTGGTGGATGACAATCACAAAGTTTAGTCCTGAAAGGCTAGCACAGTGCAGAAACTTGAAGTGGAAGAGGGGATGACAAACATCAAATAATGTTATTAAAAAAAGGCTTTTTTACCGCATCTTATATATGGGACATTTTTAAAAGAAATTTGTCATCAAAATTTGAGAGAGTAGACGATGCTGGCTTTCAGAATAGCTGAAATATGCATGCTCATTATGAAATAAAAAACATCTACACCGTTATGTTCTGGCTGCATAGGGTGCTTAGGGTGCTTGTGGAACACAAGCTCGAGACCAGTTACATCTGTGTAATTCACCTGAGCACATTATCAAGGGCAAGAGGCAAGAAATAAGTGCAAGTGTCATTTAGCAAAGTGACACAACTTTCTTCCTTGTAAAGTACAAAACAGCTGCTGAAGTGCTGAACATGCTCGCATGATACCTTGCGAAATTTAGCAGCGACAAAAGAAAAAAAGTCCGCATTAATTTTTCTCCAGAGACGATTCTCATGGTCGATCGCAGGGCCTCGTCAGTCAGCCTCAACTAGGGAACCTACTTTTATTTAGAATAAAAGTATGAGCTTCAGTGTCTTTTGTCCAGGCTTGGTCACTCAAGAAAGGTTGGTGGAACACATGTTTCAGGCATCTGATTTAATCTGCAACCAGTGCAGTGTTTTTCTCATGTGATAACAATGGGACAAAAAAATTTGAGGCAGATTTTCAATAGTTGTGCCAAGCCTCAAAGAAGTGATACTGAACAACCCCCTTTGTTCTGAGTGATTAGTTTATTTCATTCTCCTATTTTTTATTTATTATTCCTGTCTTCTTTCTTTCAATTTATCTTGTTGTCTATTTAAATTACATTCTATATCCTTTTTTCACCTTTTTCCCTCACTTTCTTATTCTGTTTCTTCGTCAATCTTTCTATGCGATACCTTTCTTTCTCCCCACTTTTTTTCCCTGTTCCTCACTCTCGCTTATCTTCCCAAACACCTTGCACACTATACTGCAAAAAACTATGATAAATTCTGCTAGCGTGCCTGTATAGCCGAGTGGTTGTTTTCGCTTTGTCAGTACATAGATTCGAATGCAATTTTCTTGAGAATTTTTTCCCAACATTTTGTTTGATTTTTTTTTTTGTAGTGCATCTCTAGTTCATCAGTGTTAATGAATCCCATTCCGGACGTATCGGTGCATGTGTACTGGGAGCGAAGCACAGCAGGACAAAGATGAACAAGAGGCCAAAAAGCATGTGCTGGTTCATTATGATGGTTATTTTTGTTCTCACATCGCAAACCAATCCTCTGCTTAAACAGCTCTATTTTTGAAATATGAAAAAGGTTGTCACATGCACAGTCTTTTACTATGTTCCAAGTGATCTTCCAATTCGGTTTTATATATGTGTGTGCACCATCTGAGTATCAAAGCATTTTTTAGCGAAATAAAAGTATTTTGACGGTTTTTACCTATCCATCTAGCTAGCTGCCTATGTCTGGGTGCTCGCGTGATCACCTCTCTTACTAGTGCAAAATAACAAAGACAAAAACGCCGACCAAGGTGAAATACACAGAACTTTAAAAGACGTTTCGGCTCCCTACACGGGAGCCTTGTTCACAGTGACCTCAGTCCGACGGGATTCGGTTGGACTCTTGACTATATAAACTCTCTTACTTGTACATACCAAAACTGGCATGCAAAAGTATGAGTGTATGACAAACTTGACTGAGGCATCAGGACTTGAATGGCATGAAATACCTGTCAGGTAAATCATGAAACCCTTATTCATACACATCTGGTGCATACCCATGAAATGCGGGTATGGCCCACAGGTTATGAGCCCACAGTAAGGCTTTGCCTTCTCAAGTATAGCTAAAACAGACATTGTAAATCTTACCCTAATAACTTTAAAGAGCTTGCGTGAAAAAAAAAACATTCACTGCCCGTTTTACTGACAATGCTGGTGAGTAAAGTATTTCTGGACCATAAAAAATAAAAAATCACAATTAAAGCGAAAAGTGAACCCAGGCATTCTGTGAAGCAGTCAATTTTTCAACCCCAGAGTTGTACGACTGCTTAAAGTTACGTCCACCATGGTGGATCAGGGGCTAAGATGCTCACCTGCTGACCCGAAGTTCGGCAGTTTGATCCCGGCCACGAAAGTCACTTCTCTAGGACTTGTCATAATGCGACAAGCGAGTATGCCTACAAACAGTTGTTATTAACATTGACGAAGCGTTACCCACAACGAGCTGGTTGAAGCAGAAACCCAGCAAGCACGAGCTACACGAACGTCGTATTCTTTCACGCTGGCACATACTATTTGCTTATATAAGAAATCAGTGTCTTACAACTTCTCAATTCTGAAAGCTTGATTACCACATGTATTCAACTATAAAGGAAAGATGTGCCTTATTTTTATCATGCTTCACCTTGTTGCAGGAAGCAAGATAAGATGCATTGCCATTTATACCACGGTGTACACTGTATTTTATCACAGATAGATTAATTGTCCTCTGTGGCCTTCAATGCACCCAAAAAACACTCATACATGTAAAGCCTCCCATGTTGGGTGCCTTGTTTATTACTGCATGCTTGCTATGGCAAAGGGGCTAAGAAAGCATGTCTTCCTGGGAAACATCCATAAAATGGCTTGTAACGAGCCCGTAATCAGTGTGTCTTATTTCATATGACTCCTATGGTGCACAAATCACTGGCTTTTGCCTTCTTGCTGAACGAGTTTGCAACAACGAAGAATTTCTAATTTGTTCACATTGTATGAAAAAATATAGTTTCCTCTCTCTTACCTGTCAGCATCAAAGTAGAAGGTGACATTCTTGAGCGCCTTAAAATAAACTGAAATTCATATTTCTGTTTCTCATGTAGGTTAATTTATGCCACACATGCAAGCACAGTCCATGTACAGTTCTAGCCATGTTTCATGCAATGCAGCAAATGAAAAGAAACTTTCTGTTGCACGGTAAATGTACGATGAAACAAGCCCTGTGGGGATCACAACTCAGGTGACAAATTGCGAGCTGAGATTTTTCCATGTTATACAGAATTATGCGGTTGCATCAACAAAGAAACAAACAAAACCGTTTCCAAAGTAACAAACAATACTGCATTAATGCTCTGCTGAGTATAATTGTTTTCTATTGGTATGACTAATTTCTCCAGTAATATTTTTTATGTGTCTATGCAGAGCATCTTCTGATACACAATGGGGCAACAACAACCTGCATCTGCAGCTTCAATCAAGCTCTTTTTTTTTTCGCAGGCCTGCCTGTTCTACAAAAAATTTGTACAGTAGCCTGCTTAAAGATGGGACTGTGCTGCATTTGCCAAGATTGAATTTTCGCCATGCATTTTTTTACGAGAAAGGAAATTCAAATAGCACCATCATTAAAGGATAAGCTGAAAATGGCAAGCGTCATGTTGTGTCTGTTGCTTTCTCTACATATTCTACAGTGCTGCCTGATTTTCCCCCTAAAATAGATGTATTCTGCAGTAGTACCCCTTCAGTGCATGCTGAAGCCAACAATGAAGAAAATGCGAACGTTGCAACGAGGCCAAATCACTCCTCATTCTGGTGCCTTCGGATATTGTTTACACTTAGGCCCGTGCTTTGAAGCAATTAACTTTCCATGGTTCGATGCAGTACCCAATATAGTGGATGTTCTCCTGGGTGGGAGTTTGATATAGCAAATACTATACTTAATAATGATCGACAGTATTTAAAATGTGTGTCTAAGGAAATGAAGTCTACAAATTTTATAAAAAAAGTGTTGAGCAGTAAAAGTGATGACAAAAAAATAGGTGGCTGCACTGACATCACTGAAACTGCTGTGTTGTAGCACCAGCACGGAGGGAGGCGACAGTTGCAATGTGATATATCAACACATCACGTGCCATTTCTTTTGTTCACGCACAGAGGCATTCCTCCCACATCATTATTCCAGAAGCAGGTTAACTACAACTTGTTTGCCGAGCCGCACCGTGGAGGGTCAGCTCATTGTGGAGCTGTATCAGTGATGAAGTGTACAAGCTATATTTTTGCAATCGGATAAAAAAAAAAAACCTGGGAACAGGGGTTGTGTGCTCCATAGAGTTTCTCAAAATTAACTAGAGGGCACTCTGGCGCTGCGATCGTTCAGGGACCATGGGAGTGATGGGTAGTACACACATTTGCCTAGTCTTCGTACTTGCAGGTGGCGAATTGTACTTGCGGCTTCATTTATTGCTGTGTTTTGATTTTGTTTTCAAAGAAATATTCAACCCTTTTGAACTTCGTGACCCAATTTGGAAAGGTAATTCGAAAAAAATAGGGTGGTGAAAACGCAATTGCTGAACATTTGCTGATTTTTGTTTCGTGAGAAAACAGCTTCAAGCCACACGAACACACACGGAGCCGAGAGCAGGCCAGAAGTACGAAGTTTAGACAAATGTGTGTACTACCCATCATTCCCATGTTCGCTGAAGCGCCGTGCATTGCAGCTCCCATAGACACTAGCGCCAGAATTCCCTCTAGTTTATATTGTGAAACACTATGGTGTACTCGAGCCGTCGTTTCGACAAGCCGACTTGTCTTCCTCAAGGCTAGAACAGAACTGCTCCGTTCTAGCCTTTACTTTACTGTTTTTATTGTAATTTTTTACCCTGTTTACTTGTTGTAATGTGCAGGCCTGCAATGCCCTTTATTTGTTTTTATTGCATATTTACAGAGACAGGGAAATTGACCAGTTTCGAAAACGATTCCGCAAAAGTAAGAAGGTACCTGCTGGGGATGGAGTGGACAAATACATCTTTGTGTTTGGACCTACTGATCCTGATTGGGTATGCTGTGTTTCGTACTTAACATTACATAAATTTGCTCAGAGCTGACACTGTCTGTATTTCCCCATAGCCATTCGATGTCAAGGAGCTTACAATGATGGTGGCTTTCCCAAAATTGTATCCCAGAGAGGTATGCCATTGCTTTGTACAATACCTTATACAGTATTAATTATTTTTATTTTCTCTCGTATAACTTTCTCTTCCTGCAGTGCTTAATGATGTGTGTGCTTGATGAAGAGGGTGTCTTACCTCCGACATTGCTGAGGTGAGTAATCTGCCCTCCTTTTTTTTTATCATTTATTTATTTATTTATTCAGTTACCCTCAAGGCCCGAGGGCATTACAGAGGGGAGTGGGTACATACATACATGTATAGCATACAAAGCAAAACACAACAGAAAAATTGCAATCGTCGCTTGCTACAGGGTTGAACTGAGGCTACGTACAAATAAAATTAGTGACGGCAATTTTAAATAAAGCAGCATCTTTTATACCAACAATATCACAAGGAAGATGATTCCAGCATACAGATGTTTTTGGCACAAATGAATTATGAAAACACTTGGTGTGCGCTAAAAGAAGTCCTACTTTATGGTGATGATCAATGCGAGTGGAAACGTAAGTTGGTTGGGCCAATAATCTGCTTCTGAGTAACGGATTGGTGAAGTAAATTTTATGGAATATACACAGCCGAGACACTTTCCTGCGAAGAGACAGTAGGGGTAATGCTAATGTAGTTTTCATTGATGTGACGCTCGAGGTGCGATGGTAATTTGAAAGGATGAAGTGCGCTGCCCGATTCTGCACTCATTCTAATTCATAGATAAGCGAGTCATGACCAGGGTCCCAAACAGATGCTGCATATTCTAATCTGCTACGTACCAATACTTTGTAGAGTAAGAGTTTCAAGGAAACGGGTGCCTGATTAAAATTTCTTCGAAGGTAACCCAACGTGCTATTAGCTTTACCTGCAATATATTCAATGTGTGTCTTCCAAGACAATGTAGAAGTTATGTGGATACCTAGATACTTATAAGAATTTACTACTTCGAGAAGAACATTATTAATATGATACGACCTGATACTAGTGCTGTGTCGGTCAACATGCATGTACTTGCATTTGTTAACGTTTAATGCCATGCCCCAAGTCTCACACCATTCCTGAACCCGATCCATATCAGCCTGCAATTCTAGAACGTCTGAATGTCCCTTAATTGCCCGATAAATTACACAGTCATCTGCGAAAAGACTCACTGAGGAAGTAATGTTTAGAGGCAAATCATTTATATAGACCAGAAAGAGCAATGGTCCCAACACGGAGCCCTGTGGGACCCCAGAGCCAACCGGCACCCTGGGCGAATCAAAGTTATTAACAGTTACAAATTGGGAACGGTTACTGAGAAAAGCAATCACCCACGCGAGGACGTTATCATCTATATTGAGGCTCCGTAATTTTAAAATGAGTAAATCATGAGGTACTTTGTCAAACGCTTTTGAGAAATCTAAAAAGATACAGTCAATGGGTGTGACGTTGTCGAGAATAGAATGCAAATCATGTATAAAACATATTAGTTGCGTTTCACAGGAAAAGTTTTTACGAAATCCATGCTGTGAATCAGTAAAGAAAGAATTGCCCTCTAAAAATTTTACAAGCTGCGAATAAATTACGTGTTCCATTATTTTGCATGGTATCGAAGTGATTGATACTGGTCTGTAATTTTCCGGACAAAGTTTATCACCTGACTTAAAGAATGGAATAATTCTTCCCACACTCCAATCATCCGGAAGACAGCCCGCTTCCAGAGATTGCTCAAATATTTTTGTTAAGATTATGGCGCTGTAGACTTTAGTGTTGATTAAAAACTTGGAAGTAATGTTGTCAATTCCGGCGGAAGACGAGACTTTAAGATTTTCTATTATTTTTTGTACACCTGCTGTGTCAAAACGAATTGCTTCCATCGGGAGATAATCACTAGCTTGACAAACAGGGTTTGAACCTTTGTTGAGGAGACCTGACACTGCCGCCGCGAAGGTGTCACAGAGAATAACAGCGCAATCATCTTTATGGGTTACCCCGTCCGAAGTTTTAAGTGTTATTTCATGAGTATCTTTTTTATTCACCACCCTCCAAAATTGTCTCGGGTTGTTGACTAACATATTTGGGGAGTGTGTTATTAAAGTAGGTTTCCTTTGCTGCTTTTGTGGCCCTCCTATATTCCCCATTAGCAGCGTAGTAAGAATCCCATCTGGCCTGCGAGTTAGAAACTTTAGCGGACCGAAACAGCCTTTTTTTTCTTATTAGCCAACCTTTTCAAAGATTGGCTATACCAGGGAGCATGCTTATTGGTGGTGACTAGCCTCAGGGGAACAAACGTTTCAGTCAGGTATGCTACTTTTTCTTTGAACAAAATCCAGTTCGAATTAACGGAACGAGCCTCGAATTCATCAAGATAGCTGTCCAGAAATAAACAAAGTTCTCTATTGATGGCATCAAAATCGGCAGCAGCGTAATCTCTAATGTGCTTTGTATAATTTTCATGGTGAGGAACGCAAACATCCATAGTGAAATGGAGCAAAGAATGATCACTTAATTGAGGCAAACAAAGTGGAAACATGAACAGATCAGGCACGTTGGTTAACACGAGATCTAAAACGCTCGAAGTAGTAGATGTAATGCGAGTTGGTTGGGTGACAATTTGCGTAAAGTTGAAATCAGAACAAAAGTTCAAAAAATTATAACTATCAGTAGAGAACGGACTTAACTGAGGTACATCACTGGACTAAAATATATTTGGGTAGTTAAAGTCTCCGGCTAAAAGAACTGGTACATTAGGAAAACGTTCCATAACTATGTTAACCACATCGTGAAGGCTATTGACAAAGCTCGGATCGCAGGACGGTGGACGGTAGCAGATACCCAAGATAATCTTTTTATAACATGTGCAAATTTCAACAAATATGATCTCTAAATTGGTTACAACAGGCACAAAAGATGAAGAAATATGATCCGCTACAGCAACAAGTACACCACCGTTGCATCTATCACCTCTATCACGACGATACACATTGAAACGCTTTGTAGAATCAAACAATTCACTGCTGTTAATTTTTGAAGTAAGCCACGTTTCAGTTAACAATACAACATCAGCGTCACATGAGTCGACCGCCGCATTTAGTTCATCGCGTTTCGATAAGACACTCCTGATGTTCGTGAAAGAAAAGAAAGCGAATTTTTTGCGCACCGCCCCCCACCCCTCGCGTGTCGCTACTGCGGCGAGTTTGCAGCTGATAACGGTGCCCTGGATACTGAGGGTTCGCCTGAAAGCTGCCGATTAACGAATTCCCCAGAGGCGCCGCCAAGTTCGTACACACTGTCGTTAGAAAAATTGTAACTGTAACGTTTATCACCTATGTGCAACTTATTGTACCGGAGCTTGAAAGAAACGTCCCGTTGTTTGGCAAATTCTACAAGCTTCTTTCGCGCCTGCCGTGTTTGAAGGGAATAATCCTCACTTACAGTGATGCCATTCTCTTTGAATTTTCCGCTGAGCGATAGTAATTCCTGCTTTAACTTAAAAGATGCAAATTTAGCAATAACTGGTCTATTTTGGTTGGGCCTGTACGTTCCTAGCCTGTGTACTCGCTCAAGAGCTTCGCTCGGCACTGGTGACTTAAAAACGGTACTGATCTCTTAACCAGTTTTTCTTCAGTTTGGTTCCATTTCTCCTGCGGACAGTCTGTCAAACCGTAAAACAAGAAGTTACTGCGTCTCATTCTATCCTCAAGCTGAGAATGTTCATCGTGTAACCTAGCGTTTTCTCTGCTCAGATGGTCGGTTAGCTGCTTTAGCTGCAAAAGTTCATCCCCGACCTCGGCGTTGTCACACGCTTTTGCTTCGACAGCGGCGAGCCTACGGTCGATGTCGTTAACTTTGCGCTCGATTGCTTCCTGGTTGTTTTTAATTTCATTCACGCTAGATATTAACTTCACTTGGTCCTGTTCCATTTTTTCGGTTCGAGAGTTCACGCTCTGCAGAAGAGCAAACATGTCACTAAATTTTGGCTCATGAGCCCTGTTCGATACGTCAGACTCAGGAACCTTTTTATTGGGCCCTGGGTTTTCTTCAACGTCGCCAGATAGCAAAACAAGCATAGATATAACCTCTACACATTCACTTAACAGTGACAACAAGACTCCCGGGCGTGGGAACAGCGTCAGGCACACATTGTTGGACTTCTTTGCAAATAAAGGAGTATTGTTACTAACCTGTGTGAACAAGCGAGCAAAGTTACGGCGCCGCATTTCTGCGCTGTTCCCACGCCCACTGGAGAGGCCAGGTTCGTGCCATCCGTTTTTATCCTGGGCTTGCGATGACGTCACGACCGATGAAGTGGCCGCCTGGCTCGGGAAGATGTTGCAGGGGTGTTTCCGGCCAAATCCTGGACTGGCCGAAAACTGGTCGCTATCAGGCAGAAGCACTGTCCGTGGCTCATGCCCAGCAGTCGGTGATAGCCACGAGCAGAAGTGAAGAAGTGAAGCAACCTGTGTGAACAGGTCGCTTCACTTCATTGATTGTAAAGGGGTGCTGACATGAATTCTTCGAAACTAACTTTACTTTGTCATGCAAGTCTCCTGTTTACACAGATGAGCTTGAGCAGGTTAAAGCTCTGAAAGGACTGATAAGATTTTTTTTTACATTGAAGTCAACTTTTGCAAGGCACGCCAACTGACGTTGGCATTAGCATGACGCTCAGGCTACAGCACTACTTCTGGTGACTTCACGCACCTGTATTACTAGTTTTAATGATGTCACGTATTAAAACATACAAAATGGCTTTGTGTGCGTCACTATCTGAGTGGGCTTGGAAACGCCGCGATAACTTTCACGGGCATGTAACACGTAGCTCGTATCGTGTTGTGATGTCAAGGTGCCGTAGGAACGGAAACTAGCTTATAAAAAGTAATTTTTGAGGGGGCACCTCACACTTACCAGTACACTTTCTCTTCTAGGATCTTGAGTGCTTGGCTTTTCATTTGACACACACACAAAAAAAAACAATGAAAATTTTCTTGTCAGTACTTCTTTAAAGATTTATTATTGCATAATTTAACATTATGTTTTGAAGGTGCGGCATTGAAAATACGCAATTAGGTGAAGCACAAATATGTACGTAATCCATAAAAAAAAATAATCTGTTATGTGCTACAGCATTTGAAAGTCCTGGCTTTAAAGTGTTGTGTTTTTCTCTCTTTGCACATTTGGCAGCATTCTTATGCATTGGGTTATTTAAAAGTTGGCTTAAGAATTAATTAATAGCTGGGTTAACTTTTCCACTCTGCCCATAATAAAATTCACCTAGTCCTGCCTACTTCGCATGTATATTGAAAAATTTGTCTCCCACTGAGCTCGCTATGCATGTGGGCAGAACATAGCAGTGACTAATTTTAATGGACACTAAAGTCAAATGACAATTTACGTCAGAGTGAAAGCTCATTGTATGACGTCTAAAACGACAATATCATCAATAACAGGGCCCTACTTACTGAGAAATTAAGGTAAATGCACAAGAATACACGCGCCGCAGTAGGAAATTCTCAAAATGATCCCGATGACGTCAGACAAACCATCTACAATTGATCATTAGTAACCGAACTAGCTGCACTAAATAAATAACCTTCCATGCATCAAGAGGCGTAATAAGGTGCTGCTTGTTCGTTTTTGTTTGATTCATGGAAAAAAAAACCACCGCGTGTTACTATGGGGAATGGCACGAGTGGTTCAAAAGTCCAATTTTTGCATGGATGGTTAAACTGAACAAGTGCCATCTAACGAAGCCCATTTGAACCAATAACGTCAGCCATCTCTGGGCAAATGGCAGAAAATTGTTGAATTGCCGTTGTTGCTGCTGTAGTTCCCACTGCTTTCGTTCTGCTGCCACTAGTGTCGGTAGCCGCGCAGTAAAGCCAGGCAATATGCACAGCAACTGTGACGCAAGACATTCAGCTTGAGCGAGTAATATGAAGTGCGCTAGCCCCATGCGGAGCACTCAAACGTGATAGTATTTCAAAATATGCACTTTCTTAGCACAAAAGTAACACTACGAGGTTTATGGACCGTCATTTCAACAATCAACGTTGACTTAATACATAGTTAAGTGTTCCTTTAATGCAACAATGCAACTTTTCTTGCATGCACTGATCTGCATATGCTGGGTATTTATTCATTTTTTAGCAATGAGCTGTGCCGCCTTGATTGGGGCAGAAGTGTTATAAAAACCAACTTGACCCTCTCGTAACAGGAGTTTAAATGATTTTCTTTTATGACCACATTATATGGCATATTTAATGCAATGTCAAGAAAGAGTATAGTAAAAATGTTAGCTTTTATGGTTTGTGCAATAATGTTTCCTTGAAGTTAATTGGAAAAATATAAACTCATGAAGGACTAGCTGTCATGGCCTCTCATGAAGGACATATTTCTTAGGCTTTAGTAAGGGGATCAGTTTTTTTAGCAATCGTTGTCACTGTTTTTTCCACTTTCAGAGACATCAACGCGGCTGTGAAGGCATGGCTAGATGAAAAGCATTCCACAGCAAATCAAGTTCGCCCAGGATTACTTTGTCTGCGCCCATTCCTTCGCTGGCTTGACCGCAACCTTGAGACTCTATTTATTGAGAGCTTAAGGAAGGTAAGCATGTCACTTCTGTTATGGTTATCGGTGCACAAGGGTGGCTAAAAACATCTCTTGGTGTACTGTATTTTCTCGCACAATTTGCACCCTCGCATAATTTGTGCACCCCTAATATTTTGCCAGCTTTATGGAGGGAAAAATCTACTTGCATATTTTACGCTCCCCTATCCGCTCGAGCCGGCTCACCGGCGCGCACACGAAGAGACTTCGTACCTTTAGATGCCACGAACAAGCACGCCGCGCACGCGCGCCTTGCCGAGCAGGCGAACGCAATTAAACATGCAGCAAGTGCGAAGCCCCTTCTTTAGAGGACTTCCCCCGAACTAGGGTGCCTATAACACCGTACCCACCGGAACTGCTCGAGCGTTTGCCTCCCTCCCCGAATCTTTACCGTGAGAATGTACGCTCGCGTCACGGCACGGACAACTTTTTGAATTGGAAGCGTGCGAGCGCCTTTTGCGCCTACTGTTTCCTTCGTTCTTTGCCTCCGCGCTGCAACACACGCTTGGTTGATTTCGGAAGTTTAGGTTTCGCCATCCGTCTGTTGCGTTTTTACTGTTCTCTGGTGATGTCCTGTGGTAATTATATATATATATATATACGGAAAAATTCAAGCTCAAAGTTGTGAAGTGTACCAAAGGAAACTGGAACCGTGCCGCTGTCAAGCACTTCAGCGTGAACTTCAACGTGGGATAATCAGCGCAATTGGTACAGGAGAACGCTGAGTGTGCCCTTGCTAATATAAGTTGTACGTCGTTGCAGAAGGCCTTTTAAATTATATGTGAACGCTTAGGTCCTTCGGTATCGCCATGTTGTGGGACTTAGTTTTTCGCACCATTGTCGAGATAAGGAAATGAGGGATTTGAACGCGCTCGACCGAACTGAAAACAAAGCGCTTTGGGAGGGCGGTGACAGCAGCCGGCGATTCCGACTAGACTGCGCATGACCGGATCTGAGTGGTTAAAGTACATATGTGCTGATTCTGTATAGTTAACTAGTACGCTTACTTTCTGCTTCAATTTATCATATTTAGTGCATAAACTGCATGCTTTAGGACTATTGAACATTATGTTATATGCTTCTGTGAAATCCCGGCGTAATTTGTTCACCCCTTCTCGGAGCACCAAAATCTCGAAAAAAATGTGTGCAAACGATGCGAATAAATATGGTAATTATCTTTAATTTCAAAATGCTTCTCAATAATTGGAGAATTTTTTGTGCTTGGTGCAGTCATATTTATGATCATATATAGCCTCACTTATGTCCAATGCAGTATGCTGTGTATTCAGTGAGTAACATTTCAATATGTTTATTCGAATCAGAACATTAGCGCATTGCAAATCATATAGTTGTCTGGCCACTGTTTGACTCCACCTCTTAAAACCTACAGTTTGTTGGGAATAATTGTGGCATGAAAGCTGACCCTAATAGCTTTCGAATGCTTAACAAGGCTTTTTTTTGCTTTTGTTAGGTGAAAAAGATTCAACTTGCCGAAGCTGCTGGCCTTGAATTTGTGCCCTTTGAGCAACTAGCTGGTGCTACGGCGAAAGGTGAAATGCCTACTGTGAATGAAGCATTATCTAGAGAAAACATGAGCAGTGGTGATGTTGCATGTGCCATGATCACAAGCAATGCTGACAATATTCAAGAGAAGGAATGTCAAGGCACATTGCAAGATGAAGCCCTTACAGACTGTCTACAGGTTCTGACCCTTGATTCGAGTGGTAAGGAAGGAAGATTGATAGATTGTCCAGACATGAGCAGTGGTGATGTTGCATGTGCCATGATCACAAGCAATGCTGACAATATTCAAGAGAAGGAATGTCAAGGCACATTGCAAGATGAAGCCCTTACAGACTGTCTACAGGTTCTGACCCTTGATTCGAGTGGTAAGGAAGGAAGATTGATAGATTGTCCACCTGGAATATCAATCAACCAAAGTTCTGACTGTAACGAACAAGCTCATGGTGCTACAAGTGTTTTGAATGGTTTTGGTGTTAACAAAAGTGCTAACACACTCTCTGGCACAGAGAACAACAGACATGATAAAAAAGAAAAAAATGTTACAAATGAATTAGATGAAAGTGGTCCTGCAGAAAAGCCACATCATGTAGCTTCTTCTGTACTGGAGGGCGGCTCTTCTGAAAATCCTGCTGCTGCTGGTAAGTGCACACAGCGAGCAGGTGTTGATATTCATGTCAACCAGAAGAAAGGCACCGAAGTGAAGTTCCGGCGCTTAGAACTTGGGGAAGGCGTCGCCACCTTGGAGTGCACAAAAGTGGCCGTCAGGGTGCAATGTGGCAGGTGTCGTTGCAATGCGGACGTCGTCACGCCTGCACGGCGCCGCAATGTAGTGACGTGTGGCCGTTGCTCACGCACGTGCAGCGTTACGTTCCGGCCAAACCTGATGCATCCCTTCAACTCTGTAATGGGCTACTTTGACCTTGTGGACTGCTTTGCTGTGGATCTGGTTCTTTCTGGTTGCGTCTTTGCCCTAGACTGCTTTGGCTGCAACAAGAGGATGACAGCCGATGTGAGTGCTGTGCATGTTGCTATTTTTGCAGATCTTACTATTGGCGGTAGTTTGCTATGTCTATAATCGCCACATCTGTGAGCAACTGCATTTTTTTCTTTTGCTTAGAGGTATGTGCACCCTTAATTTATACATATCTCCTGTGTGTACATATCACTGCTCTTATAAAATTGTTCTCAGGACACTGCTCATTCCCGACACTGCTTAAAGGGCCACTCACCAGGTTTTAAAATTTTGAGCTGACAAGTGAAATGCGTAGGTGGGGCGTTTACAATCACGTCTGCCAAAATTTGCAAAGCTGCGCGCTGCAGTAATGGGTCGAATTTGAAGACACGCGCTGCTCTCCCTTCATGTCGCAGGCGCCCGCCAAGAGAATGAGGGCACGACTTGCGCGTATGAATGGCCCTACGTACACGGCAATGCAGTGACTTTGGTCCTCTACGTATACGACTATGCTCTGACGTTGCCAACAGTGGCACGTGACATGGTGAAAATGATTTAACATGACATGTGGAGTTTATGTAATTTGTTGCTTCGAGAGATTATTAAAACTTCAGATAAATAATGAGATGCAGTAAAAGAATGTGCGTGATTTTTTTCTCCAATTTTCCCCGTGAATTGCAACGAGATGCGGGGCTAATGTGCTGGCATTTCGCATGCGTTCGTGTCCCCGCGGTCTGCGCATCGAGCTGATGACAGCCGTGGAAGGGAAAGTAACGCTCCTACGTGTTCACGCATTCATTGGCTCATCTATTCTACTGCGTCTGAGCCAGCATTTCCAAACCATTCGGCAGAAACAGGCAGTGCACCACAAAATAACGCTGGTGAACAAAAAAAAGAACAAATAAAACGCCTATCGCATGCTCAGGAGTTGAGCTTGTTCGGAGACGTCATGCGCACGTGACGTCTTGGTCAGATGCCGGAGAGGGTAGGGAAGAGATTTGGCTTGCAAAGGCTACGTATTGGAACGGCAAGGGCTTCGAGTTCGCCTCCTCTCGTCCTCATTTCGCACTGCTTCAGAAAAACAGTTTTCTCAGCTCGTAATGAACCGAATGAAAAAATTTTTGCAGCATAATGCTCCTCATTGACGCACAACTTCCATGGTCCTACTAAAATTTATTATGGGGCCTGGTGAGTGGCCCTTTAAAAGAATACTAAGAAAAATGCTTCTGTGTCATGGGTGCCATTTTGCCTTAAGTAAAGCAGTAATGGTGAAGAGCTTGCAGGGAGACGTTATTGTTGAAATTGGTTTTGACTTTGAGAATATATACAATAAACCTTTGTAGGTTCACTTATATTTTTGTGAAAGCAATCATGTACTCGAGTTACTGTGATATTATTGATGATTCATTTTCTGCCTCGGCAATGTTACCTTCTTGCTGAGCGCTTGAAACGAAATATTGGTTGTTATCCCAATTTTTTTCCTTACCTTAATACCTAACTCTATACTTGTACAGAATGGCATATTTATGACAGCAATTATTCTGGCAAGAATTAGACCCCAATTAGGCTGCGATGGCGTGTTGCCATTTTTTGCCTTTAAGCATTTTCTCAGGGCCAGCCTTGATAGCTTACGGCTGACCTTATAGCACAACAAAAAGCTTTGTGTTTGAAACTTTCGTAAAGAAACTACTTGAATTAATGTACTTAGTATATAAACTACAAAGCATACAGATCAGCCATCATGAATATACTCAAAAATGGAAAAAACATGGCTTCTAGCTTTCTACGTGCGACGCTGTGAGGCCTGGCCCAGTAAATGTACATTGTCAATTTTTATAAAAGGAACATGTGAGCACACAACCTGTGCACTTGGGTAGTAAAGCCCCTTGATCTTGGAAAGAAACCGTGCTTTTTGGTTTACGTCATCACACTCTCGCCACGCCGTTAACCTCCTCCTTTCTCACCCCCTCTTTTGTGGAGCTGGCACATCCCCAGCGCTCGATGTCTGGGATGTGCAGGACCACCTATTCTGGTAACTTTACATCACGAGAAACACGTGTAAGTAAGCTTCGTGCACATTTAGTTCATGATGCACGCCATGAACCCTCCAGGCTCCCCAATCTGAATGGGCTTCTGGGTAAAATTATGATCTTGGTTCTTCGTGGCAATGCCTGGCTGCTGCGCACGGCAATGCTGCAGCAGGTTAAAGTAAGGCCTCTTGACTAATCACCTTGAAGGGGGAGGGGTGACAATCTTGCCACTGATGGCAAATCACTAACAACTGGTTGCTTTGCTCGCCACCAGAAGATGCAAATAGAAACTGTGGTTGCTTTCTCTCTCGGCTTAACAGGCTGCAAGCAGCCGTCGAAGAACACAGGTTATGCACCATAACACGCTCCCTGTCATAAAAATTGACAGTGTGTCTACATGCCAGTGGCAGCGCTCTGCATAGGAAAACGCATAGAAAAGTGACAATGCAGTCGACTGTGGCAGTGTTGGAGCGATAATGCTTCGTAAACATGTCCAGTAATAATCCATAAAGCAGCACATTTGACAGTTTGCTGTGTTTTGATTGATGAAACCAGGAAGTCAGTAGTCAAAAACGTAGCTATGACTGTTTGTGCAGATGCCATGACATTTAAAGTATGGTATGATATTGTATGGTATGATATTGCCTACAGGTAGCAATATGAATAACGTTGAGCACCTAAAAATCAGTCTGGGATTGATGCTAGCCGCTTCCACGTCGGGACATAGACACACAGGCCCTCTGGACAGGCTGAAGTTCGTCTGCCAGCACGCCACTGTGCAGCATTCATTGTGACTCCTAGAATTTATTTTTAGATGTGAAGCAGCTCTTTGACTCACGTGTGTAACCTTGTATGTACGTGTGTTCATAAGAACGCACCGCAATGCGTTCGCCTCACCGTAAGTCTGGAGTGGTGCCAAGTAGGTCGCGCTGTAGCTGCACATTGACGTCGCGCTCCCCTTGCACGCTTCGCTCGCATGTGCACGCTGACGTCGCTCTCTCTCCCATACTCGCCGCAGCACCTACACCTGCCGGCTCGCCCGCCTGCTCGCAACACACTTCGCTTTCTCCACCACCTGCAACGCTCAACCGCTCATCAAGCGGAAGGTTTATCTGCAATGATAATTACACGAAACCCAACATGCTTCCCTTGTCTTTGCATTCCAAACAAACGTTTACTCGAGTAAACGCTACACAGAGTTTCGCTTCAAACCGTTCTTCCAGCACCCGCATCGACGCCCGTTTCAACCAGTTCAACACCGTGCGCACCACTGCTGCTTCGCATCCCATCAAGATTCTTTTCAAAGAGATGGTCGACAATTTCCTTTTCTTTTATACTGGGTACTTCGAAGGCTTGGATGTTCTTGAGGATCGTTTATTAGGGCAGTTCTTGGAAGGAACATTTCTACGTCACTAAATTTTATTTGTTGGTTAATCTCGTTGCGTAAGGTCCCTTGTGTTTTTGCTGTTATTGTATTGATATTCTAAACATTTGATAAAGATATCATTTCATTATTGTGATGACTTTTCGAAGAAAATCAGGCATACTGGCAACACTAGCAGTCGCCGTGAGTCACATTCCCTCATCCGATTCAGAGACTGTGAGCTCAACGGGTACAGCAGGTTGTGATGTCAGCATGCTTTTCCTTTTTTTAATCTTCCTGGTTTTGTACCTTTGGCGTACCCTACATTTTCTGCTGTTATTAAAGATGGAATAGGTGAGCTCAAAATGAAGGTTGAAGCTCAAGCATGAAGCAAGGTAATGCGAACCACGATGATTCAGTTAGGCTTTACCAAAGTGAAAGGGTGCTTTTATGCTATGAAGCTCGTAATGTCACTTTTGGGTCAAAGAATAATCATGCCGTAGTCATGCAGGATGAGGTGTTGAGCTACCCTCACATCTCTTTCTATTGTTACTGCGTAAGCTACTCTTAATATTTTATTTATGTATATATATATACATATATAGTGAAATAGATCCTCCCTGAGAACAGTAACTACGGAAGCGTTTATTTTGACACTTTTGGCCAGGGTCTGACCTTCGTCAGGAATGCGGGTACATGTTGTTCGCTCTTACATTTATAATTTGTGCAAAAAAGTAAGAGGGATAATGGCAAAACAGAGAAGAAAGGGGGAAAAAGAGGGTATAGAAAGAACAGAGCGGAGAAATTTTCAAGGGTTACTACGCTATGCGAATGGCGTCATAATGTGTTTGTTTTCTTATAAGCATTGTGTTCAGCGTGTTCGGTTGGCAGTCCTTTTAGTTTAGATGGTGGCCGGCTAAGGTAAGGTCTTGCATGTCACAAAAACTTTTTTTTTTGATCGGCAGTCACTAATCGATGGCTTGAGCTTTGTTGAGACTGTCGGTTGACATCTTTCTTCTAAGCTTCCTTTTGCATTAGATGGCGTCCCGATGCTCCTGTGAGGAGGCGCACGCACAACAGGTTTTAAGGAGCTGTCTCGCTTCCAGAGGTCACTGCATAGTGTCGCCAGAAGAAGAGAATGGGCGTTTAATGTGAAAGCTATTTTGTTCTGAGAATCAGCCTTTGGGAGCTTTTAGTTTTGCATGCGGTGGCTGTCAGACATGTAGGGTTTTACAACCATTGATTGGTTAGTAGGATGGGTAGAAGTGGACGACAGTAGTACATTGGAAAGGGTAGTCATACTGGAAGATATTTACAATTATCCAGTCCTTGCCGCAAATACAGTGTTGCGAAGTCTTCAAATGTCATGATTATTATTATTTTACAGTGCTTTAAATGCTGCAGTATGCTGAAATGTACACATATTTGCTCACATTAACACGGAACACCAAGGGTTCGGGCAGTCAGAAGATATATCCATATATATCGAAATGCAAGCTGGACAGTCTGTAGCAGTCTGAGTGTGATTTTGTTGTCCTCTGGTAAAATGAAAATGGCGTGGAGGAAAGACCAAACGATCTAGACAATAATGCAAGGTGTCTTTGAGGAATGTAGCTAAAATGTGCTGCAGCCCTCAATCAGCCGTATGCCCATCCAGAGGCTTGGACTCAAGTGGAACGGAGCAGTTTGACTACTCAGAGCCCTAAATCTCCACACGGAAAGCAAGTCCTCGCGCCCAGGCATGGGTCACTTCATTTGAATGGGAGATGCCACTGATCGTGGAGCCCGTAAGGGATGGGAACTGATTGATCTTGTAAGAAGTGGTTGTCTGACTTCTGAGAATTCTAAAGTCTAGGCTTTTATTTCACCATCAATAGTATAAATAACAACCGTCAGCTTTGGGTAATCGAAGGGGCCTATGATGCTGCAGGCAGGTACTCCCTGTCTGTCCCAGCGTAGCCTGTAAGGGGGTTGGGGCATAAAGTTTCATACAATAATACTTAGAGGGGAATCTGGTGCTAGTGTCTTCGTGGGCTCCTTCAGTGGCATTCGTACCCCCATGGGAAGTACAGTCTTTGAATTTGCTTCGGATAGATTATGTCCTTGAGATTCATGATGCTTCTTTTCCCAGTGTAAAGCAAAGTGATATAAACTTAAATTGAAATGAAACTTGCTTCAATTATTTGTACGCAAGCTGTATTGCAAAAAGTTTTTGTGACCAGGCAGCAAAAGTGAAACCCGGGCAAATTCAACCATCAGTGTATGTATCGCTCTGCCATTGTTTTCGAAATTTGGCATCAAGGTTTAATGAATTATTTTTTACAACACTTGAAAACAAACATGCTTGTTTTTCTCCAGAAAGTATGTATTATCTATTTATGGAAATAACAGTACAGTATTTAGTGAGAAACACTTATCGCCCCGTCGCGGTGGTCTAGTGTCTAAGGTACTTGTCTGCTGACCCGCAGGTAGCGGGATTGAATCCCGGTTGCGGTGGCTGCGTTTCCGATGAAGACAGAAATGTTGCAGGCCTATGTGCTCAGATTTGGGTGCACGTTAAAAAAACCCATGTGGTCAAAATTTCCGGAGCCCTCCACTACGGTGTCTCTCATAATCATATGGTGCTTTTGGGACTATAAAACTCCACATAACAATCGAGAAACACTTATCGTTTCGTCTTCTGTGACGCCATATGCATGTGACCCAGTAGTCTAACACCAACGCACCTCTGGTTTTGCTGTGAAGTAAAGTCAATGGAGCGTGACTGTGCGTCTACTTGACTTCTTCATCGCTTTGCAGTCGATCTAAAACGAGTTTAGGCTAGACCCTTTCGTGAAAAAGATGAACTTGAGGCAATATCCTGTACTGGCATGAGAGGCTACATCTGTGCTCAGCGGTGAGTGGATGACACTTCGTTTAAACTGTCAAATACAACTCGTAAAGCTCCAACATCGCAGCTAATCAGGAGATCTAGTGGTAGTCAGCCTCTTCCAATAACAAAGGCACTGCTTCAGCCTTTTTCACCGTGCCCCACTACCTTCATTGCACGAAGAACGAAACTGAAACTATAGAAAAAAAGTTTCTAGACAGTTCGCTGGCTAACTCTATCCAATCCGAAGCCTGTACTTCCCATAATTCCCATGAAGGTACGTGAACGCAGTGCCAAATTCTTCTCTAGGTATTATTGTATGAAACTCTATGGGTTGGAGCATCATCAGTAATGTTGTTTATCTATCTATATCTTTACCAGTGCATATATTATTAATGCTAAGGCCTAGGGTTAAAAGAGATGCTTGTGGTGAAGGCTTTGAATTAAAGTTATGTTAAGTGTGGTGAATAGTTTTCTTATTTCTTATTCAGGGCATACATTATGGACAACGTCGCTCCCTATGGTGTCAGTTCTGCAATGCCAAGATGACTGTGCTTATGGAGTCTGTCAAGTTTCTTCAGCTGCAGCCATCGAAAGCAGCTGGTTAGTATATTGACTGTGGTGACGTTACAATCATATCACGTCTCATTTTTAGATGTACATATTTTTTTCCTGCTGTTCAGTTTTTAACATTCCTAGTTTCTTCAGCTCTCTGTTTTATTGATCTCCCTTTAGTCGGTAGGTGTTCCTGCCTAGCTTTTGTTTTTAGTCTTTAGTCCTAGTGTTCGAGGCGTTTCATAATGCAGAATGGCTGTGAATTGCCTTTGTTCGTACGAATCTATGAGAAACTCGGTTTTTAGTTGCATTTTTACAAATTTTCGAGTTTTAACAAATGGAACCCCGACTTTCCCTGCAGAAAACGCAGGTTCGGCTTTCTCCATAAAGGCTCCCAAGATGATAAAAAATGTCAAAGATCCTGCCATTCAGGAAGGCAAGCCTCTTCCAGAAGGGGGCATCTGCAAGCACTACAAGAAAAGCTTTCGCTGGCTGAGGTAGGAAAGGCTGACATTGTATTCTCTTACTTTGGTGGTCCTGAGGTACTGTCATCCTCATTTTCCTCCTCTCTGCAAGAACCGACAATACTCAGGTTGTAAACTGCAGCAGCAATTGACTTGGTAATCTATGTAAACTTGAATGTACACTTTGTAGGTGCACTTATCGTGGGTGACATGTCCTTGACAGTTTAGTTATCTTAATTTTATTATGTGTATGAAAAGATGACATGAGGAAGCATTAAGCTGTACCTGCTTGACATTGTGTCTGTGAAATATGAGCTGTGGCATTCTTATTACTGCCATGTGTTTTAGGTGTAGTGGTTTTTGTAGCTGTTGCTGGATGAAGAAGGAATGCCAGTGGCTCAAGTAGGGATATTCAACTATACTACATTTGACTTTATTGACGTAGTGTACTGTCATGAAATTCCAAGTTGTGTACTCTCAAGATTGAAAGCACTTTTTTAGAGGTATTGTAGAGAAGCCGCCGAACACTGAAATGGGTCGAACTCTCAAGTGCTCTCTAGTGGGTCTACCCAAAAAGGACGCCGCTCGCACTGAGAGTCCGTGCTTGGCCGTTACTGTCGCCATTGTGTATACTCGCTGTGTGCCTGCTAATAAATGCCATAACAAATTGGTGGAGAGTGCTACAATCCCCTTCGATGCCTTGGAACTGCGCTCACGTACCCTGCAATCTACCATGTCCCACGACACCTCTCAGCAAACGCCTCCTCCCATGCCACCCCCTTCTCCCGGTGTCCCCAGGATCCGAGATCCACCCATCTTCACGGGCGCCGATGGCACTGACGAGGAGGACTGGCTTGCCATTTACGAGCGCGCGAGCGTCCCCAACAAATGGGACGAGGACAACAAGTTGACAAACTTGGTGTTCTACCTTGCGGGCGTTGCAAGCTTGTGGTACAGCAACCACGCGTGCGATTTCGCAACCTGGTCCGAATTCAAGGCCGCTATCACCAACGTTTTTGGCCGCTCTGCCGTTCGTAAGCTGCAAGCCGAGCAGCGCTTACGCGAACGTGCTCAGCAGGCCGGTAAATCATTCACCAGTTACATTGAAGATGTCCTGGATCTGTGCAAGAAATCCAACGACAGCATGTCCGAATCGGACAAGATCCAGAACGTCATGAAGGGCATTGACGATGATGCCTTCACGATGCGGCTTGCCAAAAACCCAGGCACAGTAGCTGAGGTCATCACGCTGTGCCAGAGCTACGAGGAGCTCCGCCGGCAGCGTTCGATGACCCGTCGCTCCACACCACGAGATGCAGGGCTTGCTGGCTTGGAGGCGAGATGTGATCAGGTGGTGCTGCTGGCAGACCTCAAGTCCTTGATACGTGAGGAAATTGCTCGCCAGTTCTCTCTCCTTTCCTTTGCTCACCCACCGGCTGCTCAACAATCGGCAACTACTATTCTTCTACCCATCCGCCGAGCGATTGAGCAGGAAATAGTGGAGGTCATGCCTGCGTACCAACCACAACAACTTCCGGCCCCTGCGCCCCAAGGTTATGCCCAAGTGGTCGCCAGGCCGCCTCCAGTCGTTAAAGCGCCTGCACCACTGACTTACGCCGATGCTGCCGCACGACCTCCGTCCTTTGCAGCGTTTATGCCGACTGCGTATGTTGGCGCAACCCCTCAGCCTCATTTTCAGCCCACCATGCAGCCTTTCGAGCCACCGTTCCGGGCTAGACCCACCCCGGCGAACCGATGGCGCACACCCGACAATCGGCCCATCTGCTTTGCTTGTGGTTACGCCGGTCACGTAGCCCGTTATTGCTCTCGAGTACAGCCGGCTCCCATTTCTTCTCCTGTTGCTGGCCACCTTAGCCATCCAAATAACAACGAACTGCCGTCTGTGCCAGTGTCTCGCCCAGGTCCGTCTCCTCGAAGGTCGCCGTCACCACGACGTCGGTCCCTGTCCCCCATGCGGCCAAGTTCTTCTGCTCATGAGCGGGAAAACTAGTCGTCGCAGTCCCAGAGGCAAGGACTGCGACGCTATCGCATTGTGGAAGCCCTCAGAGCCGCTCATCTAATGTCATTGACGCGCTTGCGGACGGTGTTCATGCATCTGCTCTTATTGACACTGGAGCTGCGGTATCAGTTATGAACGAAAACCTTTGCCGCTTGCTTCGAAAAGTGACGACGCCGATTTCTGGATTGTCCCTTTGTACCGCTAGTTCACATCGTATTCAACCTACAGCAGGCTGCACAGCTCGTGTTGTCGTTCAGGACGTTCTGCACGTCGCCCAATTCATCATCATTCCTGCATGCTCTCATGACGTCATCCTGGGATGGGATTTTCTCTCCCGCAACGACGCTGTCATTCATTGTGCCGCCGCCGAAATTGAACTCTCGCCCTTCTCGCATTTGACGCCAGAAGACGGCCCCTCGACACTGAGCAAGATTCTCGTGAAAGACGATACTATAGTGCCTCCAAGCTCGACGATGGGTGTATCGGTCTACTGCACTGGTCTCTACGACACAATGGCACTCGTTTCGCCATCCGACCGTCCTTCCAGAAGGAAAGGGTTGCTAGTGCCTTTCGCGACCGTGCAAATCACCCAGGGCAACGCCGCTATTTTTGTGACCAACCCATCCCCAAACACTGTTACCTTGGTTCGAGGGGAATGTCTCGGCAGAGTGGAACCAGTCGACGACGCACAAGTTCTGGACGTACCCGAAGACTCGCGTTGTCCCAATTCGCGTACCATCAGTGCTGTTTCTACTTCTGATCCATCATCTCCTGATGTATTTGGCCCATACATTGATGACAACCTTACGTCAGTACAGCGTTCCCAGCTTCTGCACCTGCTGCAAGAAAACCGTTCTTCTTTCGATGTCGCGCGAAGTTCTCTCGGTCGCACGTCCACTGTTACGGATCGTACCGACACTGGTGCCCATCCACCATTACGGCAACGTTCATACCGCGTGTCGCCTGCTGAATGCCGGGAAATTAACGAGCAGGTTGACGATATGCTCCGACGCGGAGTCATTCGGCCCTCGGACAGTCCATGGGCGTCTCCTGTAGTTCTTGTTGCGAAGAAAGATGGTTCTGTGCGGACTACAGACGGCTCAATAAGATCACTCGCAAGGATGTCTACCCCCTGCCGCGCATCGATGACACAATTGACAGCCTTCACGGAGCCCAATTTTTTTCTTTTCTTGATCTGCGCTCGGGGTACTGGCAAGTACCCAAGGCTGATGACGCTCGACCGAAGACTGCCTTCATCACACCCGACGGCTTGTACGAATTCAACGTCATGCCGTTTGGTCTGTGTAATGCACCTGCGACATTTGAGCGCATGATGGACACCGTTCTGCGCAACTTGAAATGGCACAGGTGCTTGTGTTACCTCGAGGATGTTGTTGTCTTCGCTCCAGATTTCTCCACGCATCTCCAACGTCCGACGTCTTTGCACGTGTGAGCAATGCCGGCTTGCAACTAAATCTGAAGAAGTGCCGCTTTGCAGCACGCCAACTCACCATCCTAGGGTACGTCGTGTCGAAGAATGGCATTCTTCCTGACCCAGCCAAGCTTCGGGTTGTGGCCGAATTCCCCAAACCTGCGTCCGTCAAAGAACTGCGTAGTTTTGTGGGCCTGTGCTCGTACTTCCGACGCTTCATACGAAACTTTGCCACGGTTATATCACCCTTGATGAAGCTCCTTGGAGGCCGAGCCCTTAATTCGTGGTCATCCGAGTGCGATGACGCGTTCGCAAAGCTCCGCCATTTGTTGACGTCTCCTCCCATTCTACGCCACTATGACCCTGCGGCCCCAACGGAGGTGCACATAGACGCCAGCGGTGTAGGCCTCGGCGCGGTCCTGGCGCAGCGCAAACCCGAATTCCCTGATTATGTCGTGACATATGCAAGCCGTACGCTCACGAGAGCCGAGACAAACTACACCGTCACTGAAAAAGAGTGCCTGGCGATCGTCTGGGCCCTTACAAACTTTCGACCTTATTTGTATGGTCGCCCATGCGATGTCGTCACCGACCATCATGCACTATGCTGGCTGTCATCGTTTAAGGATCCCTCAGGCCGTCTCGCCCGTTGGGCTCTTCGCTTACAAGACTACGACATCCACGTGCTCTACCGCAATGGACGCCAGCATGCTGACGCCGACGCCCTCTCGCGCTCCCCTCTGCCTGAAGCTGACGTGCTCTGCTCAGTATCCTCGGTTGCTGCTTCTGCCATTGATGTTGACATCATCGCTACCGAACAGCGAAAGGATAATTGGATCGCCCCACTGATCGACCTGCTCTCTGATCCATCCACAACGCCATCCACGCGTGCCTTGCGTTGTCGAGCTCACCATTTCGCCATTCGTGACGGCCTCCTACACCGACGCAATTATGACGCCGATGGCCAGCAGTGCCTACTCGTGATACCCCGCAGTCTGGGGTCGGAGATATGTGAATCCTTCTATTCTGATCCGCAATGCGCACTTTGGGGTATTCAAAACCTACCATCGCATTCGACAACGCTACTTCTGGCGCGGGATGTACCGCTACGTCCAGCAGTTCGTTCGCTCCTGCCTCGCTTGTCAACGCCGCAAACCATCCGCACACATGTCACCAGCCGGTCTTCAACCGTTACCTTGTCCTGACCGTCCGTTTGGGCGCATAGGTATCGAATTTTATGGACCACTCCCTCTTACGTCCACTGGAAACCGCTGGGCCATTGTCGCCGTAGATCATTTAACACGACACGCCGAAACCGCCGCTCTCCCTGCGGCTACTGCGCGTGATGTTGCGTCCTTCCTACTGCATCGATTCATACTGCGCCACGGTCCACCCCAGGAGCTTCTCAGTGATCGAGGCCGTGTCTTCTTGTCAGAAGTCGTCGACGCCATTCTCACTGAGTGCCATTCTGTCCACCACAAAACTACTGCTTATCGCAGACGAATGGTCTGACCGAATGCTTTAACCGCACCCACGGTGACATGCTTTCGATGTACGTCGCCGCCAACCACACTAATTGGGATACTATACTGTCCTTCGTCACCTACGCCTATAACACCGCCCCTCAGAGCACGACTGGTTTTTCACCTTTCTTCTTGCAGTACGGAAGGCACCCGTCACACACCATCGACACGATACTCCCGTACACGCCGGATCCATCTGAGTGTGCACCTATTCCCGGGACAGCCAGGCTTGCTGAAGAGTGTCGCGAGCTGGCCAAGACATTTATGACGCATGAGCAAGAGCGGCAGAAGAGTATTCGTGATGGCTCCGCCGCTTCTGAACCCACGTTCCTTCCTGGTTCCCTTGTATGGCTCTCAATCCCGACCTCTGTAGCTGGCCTTTCTTCCAAACTACTCCCGAAATATGAAGGTCCCTATCGTGTGATCGAGCGCACATCTCCAGTCAACTATCTTATCGAGCCAATTGAACAATCTTCGGACATGCGCCGTTGCGGGCGCGACATAGTCAACGTGGAGCGCCTGAAGGCTTACTATGACCCTCTCGTAGTGACAAGCTGTTAAAACGCCAGGTGGCTCCCTCTTCGACCCCGGGGTAATTGTAGAGGAGCCGCCGAACACTGAAATGGGTTGAACTCTCAAGTGCTCTCTAGTGGGTCTACCCAAAAAGGACGCCGCTCGCGCTGAGAGTCCATGCTTGGCCGTCACTGTCGCCATTGTGTATACTCGCTGTGTGCCTGCTAATAAATGCCATAACAGTACTGTTTATACTATAGGGTGTACAAAAAACGGGGGAGGGGGGTGTCAATCGAGGAACCGATTTCATTAGGCACAATTTGATCAAAGTAACAAAATGGGAACCAAAAAAAGCATAGAAGTTATTGCGATGGTGTGATGTACCTTTAATTGAAGTGTAGTTATCATGACAAAAAGTAAAAAGAAACTGGAGGAAAAACAAGTTGCACGTAATGGGAATCAAACTAGCAACCTTTGCAATATGCAGGCGGTGTATTGACAATTTTGCTACAAAGATGATTGCGCCTTTTCTTACTTACTTGGTATTTATGTATGCATAATCTTGGGTGTGTGAGGAAATGCTACTCATGGCCACAGTAACGTATCTGACGCATCTTTTTTTTTCCATAGTGCTTGGAAGATGCTCTTAGCTTATAGAATGTCATTTCCTGAACTCAATAATGAAAAATTTTTACTTCTGAATATTTTGCATATTTACCTCCTCCTCTTTTTTTTTTTTTTTTTTTTGACGCATTTATGTGGGCAAATGACATTGTTTACTGCCATGCCCCAGTTTGCTGCAGTCGATGTCATTTATGTAACAAAGATTGTTACCTGGAAATATCATTAAACTTTTTTCATGTAATCTTAATATCACCGACTGTTTTGGGTCATATAAGCAACATAATCTGCGTCCATGTCCTGTGTTTTCTTTTCATTCTTTGCTGCCCAAGCATGTCCCACATTGCATGCAATTGTCTCCATGATTGTTCGTTCCAGGTTCCCATGTTGTGGAAAAGCTTATCCTTGTGACAAATGCCACGACGAGCAGGAGGGAGGAAGCCACGAAATGAAGTATGCCACACGAATGATCTGCGGCCACTGCTGCAAAGAGCAGGTGGGAAGCATGAGTGATGCAGCCTTCTGGCTTACCTGTGTATTTTCAGTCTTCCTAGTCCCGAGAGACTTGGATTTGTGGGTATAGTCCTACGTTGACCTGGCACTCAATATGAAAAGTCATTATCATTGTAATCGCGTGACAATCATCTAAACTGCTACCAACAAAGAAGGGTGCCGCATTCTGACTTTCACATGAATGTGAAGATGCCGACAGCCTGTGTACTCACTTATACCTGCCTCTTCACAAGACTGTAGCCACCGTGGCCAGCCGGCTCCAATTATCCATAGCTGCAGCAGCGTTCTCTTCACTCGGATGCATCAACATCATCATCAGCTTTTAGGTCCTGGATACTCAAAATCGCTCATGAATCATAAAATTGAACTTTTATTACATTCGATATTAAATCCTGCACAAAAGTATACCGCTGTGCATTATATATTTAAAACTCATGTGGACCTCCACAATTAATACAGGATGTTCAAGAAAATGTATCCAAATAAAAATTTCAGAAAATACAAAAGGCCAAATATTTTACCAGAGCTTGTTATGGAATCGCTTTTATTACAGCAGCTTGCACTCAGAAAGAGTAGGAGGGAAATTGAAATGCTAATTAATAAAAATAATCTAGTTAACCTTTAAGCCAGGATATTGAGTCAGTAGAACCCGGGAAAATAATTGAAGTTCTTTATACAGGAAATTTATATGGTTACGGCTAACCTTCTTTGAGATTGGCAAAAAGGGTGACTGCTAATTTTATCAAAGTAATGAAGTTCGGATAATTACACAAGGAGGATCAAGACGCAACCTTGATAGAGCCTAAATGCCGCTACTTTCAGTAACACCTCACGTGATATCACTGTTTCCCTCGGATCGCCTGGCGAAGATGAGGCACTATTCTAGGCCTGAACTCACTTCACACTTTTCATTAATGCAGGAAAGTCATTTTCACCGGAGCAGAGTGTTCAAGAAACATAGAAATAAAAAGAAAGGCGATGCTTGCTATTATTGATCAGGGTTGCCGTTGGCTATATTTGAAAAGTAGCCAAAACACAAGCTAAAAGTAGCCAAAATAGCCATGCCACTTAATTTTAGTACCAAATTTCTAACCATACAGAAAAACGTGATATTATGCATAGAATTGTTAGTATTCAACAGTAGATACCATGATTTAAAATAAAAATGGAGTATAACGAGCCCAAAATTTCTCCCTCTTGCTCCCTCTCTTTGACACAGGTAGGTTGCAAATAAATTATTAAATTATAATAATTTCAGTATGCCTACACTCACTTTTTCTACAATAATAGAGTTCTTGGAAAAGGGTCGGTTCATGCTAAACATCCCGGCCTTTTTGGCAACCATCACATATGCATTTTAAAAAAATATTTTTAATTTATTATGTTGAAACAGTGAATTGCTGGAATATTTTAAAAAGAATGAATTTTTAACACAAAAGTGTTTTATGCCATGGTTCACCAAGAGTTTAGTGATGAATTTTTGTCAGGGAGATGACCCTGATAAAGTGAACACCAGCAAACAAGACAAAAAAAAAAGCTTTTAGGAAAATGTTTCTCCGCCTGCCCAGAATTGAGCCTCCTAATCATCTCTTATATTTAAAGTTTTATCAATACAATTTTGACTTAAGGAAGAACATTTTTGAAGTTTCCCCTTGAAGGCAATGGGGAACTTGATAGAAAAAGCTGCTGTATCACCAAGCGAAAAGATAACTGTCGCTGGGGAAATTCAAAAATCATTTTCTCCCAATTAACAAAAATTTCTCCTATAAAACAAAACTTGCCAGATAAGAAAAACTATTGATTTCTTTTTGATTGAGGTGTAGAACTTTAATAGAACTATAGAATTTTAATTGGAGCACTGTAGGGTGTAAGTTGCGTGTCAATGTGAACGAAAATGACACTTTTGTGAAGTTCGTGATATTTTCTCATGAATTTTGAAAACTTCAGATGTCTGGAAATACTTCTGCAGAAAAATATACATTTAATAAAGTAAGTGTACATGACAATATTTTCATTTTTTAGGGCAAACATAGAACACTCTTGCAAAACTGCTGGAAGCATGTATGTGAAAAAATTGCAGTTATATTGTCAAACATTGAATACCTTCTACAAACAGTTTTTTTTATTAAATCAAATATGGTATTGAAAAAGGTACAATACTCATAGAATAAATTTTTTTACATTAAGAAAAAGAAACGCCCCTACAGCATTTTGGAGAATTCAGAAGGCTCCTGTTGTCGTTTGGGGCCCTCAGACACGGACGAGCCAAGATCAAGAAAGATTTGTTGACTTCACACACTGCAGTTACATATGCTCTGGTTGGCCAAACAGTACACATATCCTTCCTAACTTACACACATTAGAGTTAGAGTACCGGTGCGTCCCTAGTTTAAGTTTGTTGGATGTCACTCACAGTATACCATGAAAGTGTCGACGATGGAAGCATGAAGCGGTAGGAGCACAACAAGTCGTATGAGCGCATGCGATGAAGTTGCATGATGGCGCACAAGCAGCAGATGAGGAACACACGGGCCCACGTTGTGCCCAACGTAGCACCGAGGCCATACCTCCAGCCCCTTGTTGCGATGAACGCTTTTGGACGTGGCACCAAGGCCATGATTTCCACCACTGAGTCAGCTGCTCGCCCTGGCTGTACCCTTGTTCACCACAGGAAGAGCACTGCTAGGCCCTGTCCAGAACACTCGCTCATCCGAGGGACACACTAAGCTCATCCTGGCTGGTCTGGTAGCACCAGCTCGGTTCCTTTTGGACCCCAAGACGAACGTCTAGAGCTCTTGCTCGCTTGCTGTGTTCTTTTACGTGCGTGGTTGTTCCGTAGCTTACACGCGCCACGTCTGTCTGTCCCCATGCACACTTTCGTCGTCTTTAGTTGTTTTTAACTTTCGGTATCACTTTGTGCTTTCAATCTCTTACAACAGCTTTGTTGTGACCAAAAATTTTTGTCCCTTGCAAATACTCTGGCAGTCCATTGTTTTCAACGCAATAAATCTGCGCAATTTTTTTAAATACGCTCGAGATGGTTGCCAAGATGGCTGCGATGTTTGGTATGGAATGACCCACAAGTAGTCATGTGCCAACAACTGAGCAGAAACATTAAACACTGAAGCCATTTTTTTTTTTTTTTTCACGAAGCTGGAGACTGAAATTGTTACATAGTATCAATAATACCAGTCCAGGTTCATTTTGTAACGGATACCTCTGATTCACTGCATTTCAGCATTAGAATCTATTTGTTGCCATGCATTTCCTTACGTGCGCGCTCTCTTAAGTTGCAGGGATGCTCGTTGGTTGCCTTGACGAGCAACAGCCCGCTGGCGAGGAATTATATGTGCGCGCATAGACATAGGACAGAAAAACTTCCAAGCAATGGTTATTTTATAAGCTTGCTTACCGTTTTATTTTGGACTAATACTATTATGGAAGAGAAGTGACGCCATATCGACGAGGCTGTTGGGTGGGATATATTTCGTAGCGGCTTTACCGCTTGGCCAGCGACCGAGTGGAGACAACCACTTCGTCTTCCTCGTCAAGCATATGCACCTCGTCCCCTCAACTATCAATATGCATGCATGTAGCATAATCCCCGGCGGCAGATACGCCGTGTCGGTGCATCTAAACGTCGTCACTGGAAGAGTGATAGGGCTTGAAGCGCGCATCATGTACAGTATCAGTTGGCTGTGGGACACATGAAGGCGACGGGGCGACAGGACCAGTTTCATATGTCACAGGAGTAACCGCACGGACTTGGTATGGACCTGTGTAGTGAATAAGCAGTTTTTCCTACAAGCCAACTTCACAGGTCAGAGACCACAGCAGGGCCAAAGAACCGGGCGAAAAGTGTACGTCGCCGTCTCATTTATCATACAAACTCCATTGCTTTTCTTGAGAGGTCAGAAGGCGAGTACGGGTGATTTTGCGTGCGTGAGCGGCTTGAGTGATAGTGTCCATGGCATATTCACTGGTCGGTACTGCAGGGGACGGGATGACGGTGTCTGGGGGCAATGTTTGTTCTCGGCCAAACAACAGAAATAATGGAGAGTAACCAGCAGTGTCATGGAGCGAAGAATTGTAGGCAAATGCGATATATGGCAACACGAGATCCCAGTCAGTGTGGTTGGAAGAAACATACTTAACGAGCATGCCTGTAAGGGTTCGATTCAGATGCTCCGTGAGTTCATTGATCGGCGGATGGTATGACGTAGTGAGCTTGTGCCTCGTTTCACAGGACTGCAAGATGTCGGCTATGACCTTCATTAAAAAATATGCGGCCATGGTCTGTAACCAGGTGCCGTGGGGCATCATGTTGCAAAATCACTTCTTTTAGGAGGAAGTGCAACATCTGGGGTGCAGCTTTTTGGGAGCGCTCGTGTGATGGCATAACATAAGACGTACTCGATGGCCACAGCTATCCACCTGTTGCTTGAGGAAGACAAGGGGAGAGGGTCAAGTAGGTCTAAGCCAACGCGGAAGAAACTGTTCCGACAAAATGTCAAGTGGTTGAAGGCGTCCGGCGGAAAGCGTCAATGGTGTTTTGTGACGCTGACATATCTCGCAAGCCGCAACGTGTATTCTGAATGAGCGTGTAAGCCCTAACCAAAGAAAGCATCGGCGTATTCGGTTGCAAGTACGTGACACATTAAGTAGACCGGCAGTCGGAAGGTCATGAAGTTCGTGTAGAACTTCCGAGCAAGCAGCAGGGCTCGAAGAGGGTTCAATAATCCTTTGGCTAGTATCTTGGTGATTTCTTGCTGAATTACCTTACGTGGCAGACACCTGGTATAGTCCGCGATGAATAGGAAGAGAAACACCAGTGTTAATGCGGTGCTTGACTAGTGAAGTCTGGCCGAGTGGTTGGCTGTCGATGTCGAATAAGTCGCAGTCGAATATGCCAGAAGACGGCATAGTGCGGCTGACTTCTCGAGGTTTGAGGTCCGGGGCGATCATTGAGTGTAAGGTCGCATCGAGGCAAATGACATCCTGCAGGTGACATGGGTGATTGGGACATACGTCTACTGCAAAACTGACGACGTGGTCGTCGATGAAGGGTCATAGCGTGGCGACCAAAATTCTTTTAGGTAAGACTTGCTTTATGAAACCGAAATTGATAACGGGTAAATATGTTCGATTAGAGGTCATGGTTATGACGAAGTGTGGGACAGTGATGTCACGCTCTAGGAAAACATCAGGAATCGGCGTCACGATATAATCACCGTCGAGCACGGGAGATGGTGTTGCCAATTCAATTAAAGTGACAGCTTTAGGTGGTATCCGGAAGAGGTTGGTGGTGCAGAGGCTGTTCGGGAGTTCAGGGTGAGAATCCGGAAGAAAAGGAAGTTCTTGCTAGAAAGTACCGGCGGCGAAATCAATCAGGGCAGTACCTCCACCAAATATGTTACGGAAGAAAAAGACGCCGCATCGACGAAGCTGTGGATGAGATATATTTCCTAGCGGCATCACCGGTTGACCAGCGACTAAGCGGAGACAACCCTTCGCTTTCCTCGTCAGGCACACACGCACGTCGCCCCCTAGACTATCAATATGCATGCATGTGGCAATACGAATAAATGACCAATAAGTACACCACAATAAAAGTTCAGGATATCCAGAAAGTAGCCATGGCGTCAATCTGAAATTTTTTTCGCCAGACAGGGTCGAAAAGTGGCCAATTTGGTGCAAGGTAGCCACCAGTGACAGCCCTGTCATTAGTGTCAAAATTATCCTGTTTTCAGTGGCACTTGTAGTACCTTTAACAGAAATGTTTGTGAATGTTATAGTATTATGCAGTGTTATTCACGTGCAGAAAATAAACTGATCCTATTGGTAACTTTACAGAACACAGAACTTTTTGAATTAATCTAGGTAACCTTCATTTATTGAGGGGCCACTGGATTGTTAGTAGTGATTTCACCACAACAGCTTTAATAAGGAATGCGTGAGGTATTCATCTTTTGCTCTGTTTCTGCACCACTGGCTTTCATTCTCATTTTACTCAGAAATGAAAAGGCTCCAGAGGTGACTTCTCAGAGTTTGTGGAGCCGTTCTTCACACATAAAATGTTGTATTTAAACAACCCATAAAAAGGACCCTTACTTCAATAGTTTTTCAACATGCACAGCCACACCCATTGTTAAATCTACTTTAGCCACTAAGATCAAGCCAAGTTGATTTCATATGAGCTGGTTTATTAGGTGCTTCAACTATTATGCACACACAACATGACTAATGCTCTTTTTAAATGGCATGTTGTGCTGAATTCTGCTATACTTTTATGTCTACAAGTAGTACTGCACCTACGAGTACTACTGATATTATGTGCAAGTACTTTCATATGAGGCTGTTAAGGCTTTCCGTATCTTTTTTCAACATTGTTACAGCCCTTTGCAGCTGAAAAGCCTTGCACTGGCTGTGCAAACTTTATGACAAAAAAACCCACAGCACATTGGGAAGGAGGGCGTGGTTGCCGCGACAGGATTCGTATGAGCAGGTAAGCATTACAAGGGTTGCCATGGACAGCTTATATGTAACGACACGTCTAATGTGCCAAGAGTTCATTGTGTTGGTGGCCACTAGTGCAATCAAGCTTTCATAACTTTCCTGTGTGGTGTGCTATCATACAGTCAAGAAGATATATGAAAAGCCTAGAGAAGTTCACTCATCTTGATTTGACATTTTTCTGTCACAGCTCGTACTAGGATTGCGTTTACTTTTGTTAACTTGGGAATTCACATCTTTCTGGCCGTCTTGGAAATGACCACTGCCAAACATGGCAGTGCTATTAGCATGTTAGTAGTGCCACGGCTGCTGGATAAAAAAACAAGGTGCGGTCTGCTATGTCGCGTCGCCGTCAATGGACGAGCGCGTCTGGCCAGAGTTGAAGTTTTGGCCGCTTTTTTGGGGAAGGCGCTGACGCTGAACCCGTCTAAGCGGATAGCACTTCTTGTTTCAATGTGGTTGTGTGAGGATTTGTGCGTGTCCATGTGCTTTTTCGTGTGCTTTCTCGTGCTTAGTTTGTGTGGGATCATGTGTGGGAGCCAGTTTGCCTCATGTTTCCTGTGATCGAGCACGATTCTTTGGAGCGCGCATTTGTGGCAGATGGTTTTTTAGTGGTGCGACACCGCAAAGCTGTTGTGTGCCGCTGAGCAGCTCGAGCGCGAAAGAAGACGCTACATTGAAGCACAACGTATTCCCCTGCAATCTACAGCTTCAAGAAGCATATCAGGATGCGAATTATTTGTAACAGAGCACCTATTTTTGCTGCAAATGAGCACTGAAGCAGACGCGCGTCACTGGCTCTAGATGACAGCATCGAATCACCCTGCCAAATGTTCCCTGCGCACGGAACGTGTGCTTTCGCGGTGCGTTACGGTGGGCTGATACGTTAGCCCTTCAAATCTGCCCGGATATTGCCTCCCAATGAACGGAATCAGTGACCCTTTTCATTTCAAACAAGCAGCATTCAAGGAGAGTATTGAGGCCTATACTCCACGAATTATTGGCCCTCCTAGGGCAAACTGTTCACATATTTTGTGTGATAATAATCAAGAATCGAACCTGTGATATGCAGCTACTAAACGCGTTAATCATGGCCTACTGTGCCGCGTAGAAATGCATGTGAAAGCGTTTCTTCCAAGAGAAGCGGTTGTGCAAGAGCGGGCGCGAGGTGAACTAGCCTGTCTCACCGCTTCGGCGGCACACAGCAGACCGCACCTTGTTTTTTGTCCAGCGGCCATGGTAGTGCAATGGCGGTCCATGCATGTGTACAATCGGATATAATATAAATTGTACACAGTGAGTCTCATATTTCATAGTCACACTTTCAAGTTATACAAAAATTTCATAGCTCCATTTATGCTACTCTTTCCCTCAAGAAAGCCAGATAGCCTTGCGCTTGATTTTTTTTGTTTCAGCAGCCTGCAAGGATTTCTGTGCTGCAACAGTTAAGTTCAACTGTTAGTTCTTGTTCTAGCATTTCAGTAATAAATGAATTGTGGAGCTTGGCCTTATGCGAATAAAGTGTCTTCAAATTCTTGTTTAGTTTCATGGCAGATGCCACCTGATGACGTCAAAAAGCCTGTTTTGCTTTGTAATACTCGTACAAAGCACATTGACCACATGGGAGACAACACACAAATGCAAACATGCAGAGCTCTAATTTTGTTGTTTACAGAAATGTTTAGAATACTAGCAACTCCTTTTGGTGCGTCAATATTTTTTTTTTATACTATTCTTAGTGGGAACAGCACAGCGGTGTCATTTCTGCTGATTCATGTGCGGACTAGTGCTTCGACCCTGTAGGTTACAACTTTCAACTATACTTTTGTCACAGCTTTTACATAGGCACTCGGTTCTCTTTTTAAGGGACGACAATAAGAAGTTCAGTGGAACAGGCAAGACCATTTCAAAGAGAGCGCAGGAGAAGCTCTCTGGAAAGAAGTGACGCCATGGAAGGCTGCTAGGGGAAAGGAAGTGGAAGAAGCCCTTTAAGACCTCCTACAGTACTTTTATACGGAAGTAAATATGGTCTAGTTTTGTACAGGCAGTGTGTGCTTCATTTTGTAGATTGTGGAAACTAAGGTACTGAGGTGCCTTTTTAATTATACTTCGAATATTTATTGTACTGTTACGATCCATTCACACAAAGAAAAGCATGCACAGTTTCCTCAGTTTCTAGAACATGCCAACAAGGCGATGAAGGTCATGATGTAAGAAGTGACTGTTGTTCAGATAGCTGCTTGTACATATTCAGCATACATTTTTTTTTGTACAAGGGCAAATGATGCTTCTGTACATAGGCGTGCTCAGGATTACCCGTCGGGGGGGGGGGGGGGGGGGGGGGTCGTTTCAGCACTTCTCCCCCCCCCCCTAACATTAATTTATTTATTTATTTTATTTAAAAAATACTGCCAATCCCTTGTCGGGATTTTCGCAGAAAGGACATCGGGAAAACACACAATAAAAGCACACAATAAAAACATCCGTAAGTTATACATCGTTCAGGATACGCGTTACATTGATGCTACCAGTTCTCACAATTTCTAACAATCAATTTCAAACAAATTCTAACCAAATTCTAACAACAAAGTTCTAACAGTAAGTGTACTATATTCAAATGATTACAGTGTGAAAGAGTCAAAATAACACAGTCTAAAACAATGAATTTTGCAAAGATGACCACAATAGCGCAATATTAGGGTTCCAAACGCAAATGTTCTTCAACAAGACGTGAAAAAATATTTAAAGAATTGCTGCTAGTAATCATAGCTGCTAGGCTGTTCCATTCCCTTATTGATGCTGGGAAGAATGAGTGTTTGAAACATTCCGTACGGAATGCGTATTCTTGTAGCATTTCGGGGTGCTTCTTACGGGTGGGTCGTGATTGTTGAAGTGTAATGTACCTGGAGGCATCGATGTTGGTTTGCTTATGGCGTAGCTGGTACATGAATCGTAGGCGTGCTAGTCTTGCTCGTTTTTGCAGCGTTAGCATGCCCGCTTCTTCGAGCATTTCAGTTGGTGAGTCTGTTTGCCTAAACTTGTTAAAAATAAATCGAACAGCTTTTCTTTGCACGCCTTCTAGCTTCGCAATATGTTTTTTTGTGTACGGGAACCAAACAATGTTCGCATATTCAAGAACAGATCGCACGTACGTGTTGTAGGCTAACAGTTTAATTTCAGAAGGTGCTAGTCGAAGGCATCGTCTCAGAAAAAAAAGTCGTTTCAGTGCGGTAGCTGTAACGTTAGAAACGTGGGCATCCCATCTCAGATCACTAGTAAAGGTGAGGCCAAGGTACTTATGATGACTTGTTCTAGGAAGTGGGATACTATTGATGGTATATGATATTGATGGTTAATAAATCAATGTATGGACGGACTTGGTGTCACCCCCTCCCCTGTGCATCATTTCATTTGTAAATCTGCACAGTAATCTTTTAAGCAGCAGTTGCTGTACTCTGCAATGCACTTCACGCTGAGAGTCTACCCTTGACTGATAATGAGTAAGACAAACATTTTGCGTATGATCTGGCTCTAAGTGTGCCAAAATATTTTTGCACTGAAGGACTAATCTTAATTGTGGCTTTCATAGGCTGTGTTGACTACCAGGGGGTGGCACATCAGACCTGTGCTGCCCCTCCAAATTTTTTTGCTGCTGTAGAATAGAGAGCACAGGTCGCAGGAGGAAATCCAGGCCCCGGCGGCCACATTTTTGATGAAGGCGGAAATGCTTGAAGCCTATGTGCTTAGATTTAGGTGTACATTAAAGAACCCCAGGTGGTCGAAATTTCCTAGCCCTCCACTACGGCATGTCTCATAATCATATGGTGGTTTTGGTACGTTATACCAAAATTTAAGACAGCGAAGGAAGAACCACTAAGAATAGAAAAAAAATGCACACTCGTGGTTCTAAGCAAATGCTTTATTGAGTGCGCATGCATTTAATGTTTCCCAGATGGTAAATGAACCAGTGAAAATGGTTGGAGGTGAGGGTGGGGGGCACTTGTTCTGTCATTGGCCATATTGTATATATCTTGAAAAAGGAGGGGGGGGGGGGGGGCTTGCTCTGGGTTTTACGGTGTTCGCGTTGCTCTGCGATGATTCAAGAACACATGTCATCAATTCTCCCGTTTGCATCCCAGTTCTACACCAGCTAAAATGCCTGTAGCCAAAACGCCCATGGGTAACATCAGCATCAACTAAGCACAAAATTACCTTCTACACATTATGGAAAGTTCTCTTCTTGGTGTTAAACAACCTTGAAGAATTGTGTGCGTGTGATGCATTTCTGCTGCTTAAATAGGATACTGACTTTGTAGAACATCGCTGTGGAGCTGATCGGCAACATTGTGTTTCATTTCCCTTTTTATTCTTCCGGGCGCGACATGTTTTTTATTTCCGGTGCTAGAAGAATGCCATGGAGCGTTTTGCTGTTCTTAACCATGCATGCTCGTCCAAATGTTAATCTTTTTGTGGTGACGCGGCTCGTGCCTTTATCAGCGGCGGTACACTTAGCATCGACGAACTTTCGTTGTAAGACTTCTTGCGGCATCAACATTTTTATTTTATTAATATTTAACTCGCAAAGTGCTCAGAATGTCAGTTTGTCATTGCTTTCGTTTTCTGGCGCAACAAGAGAACTAAACAATTAGGCTATTATTGAAAGCAGAATATAGAGTCATCTCCGGTGAGAGTGAAACTGGGTGGTTTTTCTGTTGTCACAATAATCTCCCAATGATGTGCACGTATAATATCGAAACAGTGACCCTACGGGTCATATGAAAATTTGTCGTTATGCTAAGCAATTCCGTTATAGTCGCCAGACTGCTGGTTTTATTTGTCGTAACATATTTTAAAATTTTCATAATCCACAGAGGAACACTGTTTTAGGGGCTTTAAAAAAATAATTAAAGGATTGTTTTCTCGGAAAACATAAACACCCAGAGTGTAGGGGTTTCGGATGAGCTACACACCAAACGACAAAATACTCCTCTAACAGTGCAAGTGTGACAGTGCAAGATGACGCATTTCAGTGCGTATGCTTTGCCGCCAAAGAGTGAATGTCATCATTGCAGGCCGGATTTATAGGCACTAAAAATCGTGTTTTAGGTGCTAAATCTGGGCAGGCAATGCACAGTTTTAGGACCCCAAAATCGTAAATATAGGCACACTAATTTTTTTTTGTAAACTCAAATTCTCAAACAAAAACATGCGTGATATACCTAGGACGGGAAATGAAACAGAAATGTTACAGTTTATGATGGCCCAAAGGCGTTAATGGTTCAGCATAGCCATGCAATCGTCCTTTTTTCCGCATGGTTTGCAGGGTGCGATATCTCCTTTTATTGTTCAGCGTGGTGAGTTAAGTGTCCACTATAGAATAAACACCTTCCTGGGTCTCCTTTTCTGCATGGCTTTAAAGGACAGCACAGGAAAAAGTATCCTGATCACTAAAGGGCTAGTAAAGACACTTAGCCTCACATTAACTGGGTCTAATTTCACAGGGTCAATATCTCCTCTGTCCGTGAACACCTTAAAGGGTGACTCGCCATGAGCATTTCGAGCAGGCAAGGGTGCTAGAAATTTTGAGCATGCACTGGGCGCTCGCAATCTCGTATACCAAGATTTGAAACACCACAATCTCCGGAAAGAGGTAAAATGATAGATTGAACACCGCTTGCCCTTTATCTCATGGGCTTGCGCTCCAACATGGTGGAGGTGACGTACAACAAGAAATGCTCAGTCGTACGTCACAAAAGTATGTGGCACTGCGAGAATCATTCAAGGCGATATGTAGAATTTGTACGACCTATTGCTTGAACAGAAGACTCAAAGTTAATAGAAATATTAAAATATACAACCAAAATCTGTGTGCATTTTTAATATTTTTTTGCTTGGAATCGAGCAATATGTGACACTGAGCTGCCTCCAATCGGTTTGCATTCTCACCGTTCCAACGTCATGCTAGCGCGAGCCCTGACAACCCATGGCGTGTTTTTTGCAGCATCGTTCCGTAGAACAGTTTCAGCGGTGCGATGCTGCGCATCTTTGGTAAGGACACATGACTCATGCCAGTCTCTCCAAATGTGCGCTAAAGAGGGATTCATCGCACAGAAACGGGCAGTTCACTACAGGGAACACCGAAATCAAACACCTCTTGCGTGCACGACCTGGCTTGAGCTTGTCTTGTGAGTTAACCATGTGTGCGCATGACATGTTTATGCGCGTGTGTAGTGGAATCTTCCAGCTCCGAGTTGCTCTGATACTGAGGAGGCAGGGAAGGAATGGGGCTAGGTTACACGAAGCGAGTGGCAGAACTTTCAAGCTCACCTCCTCGCATGGCAGAACTTTCAAGCTCACCTCCTCGCATCATGCTTTTGCGGCTCATAATGAACTAATTCAAAGATTATTGTTATACAAGGCTCTTCATGGGGCACGATACTGAGAAGGGAGGGAAGGAATGTGGCCTTCGAAGGCTACACGAAGTACGTGGCAATACTTTCAAGCTCACCTCCTCGCATCATGCTTTCGTTGCTCATGATGAACCAATTCAAAGATTATTGTTATACGAGGCTCTTCATGGGACACGATACTGAGGAGGGATTAAGGAATGTGGCTTTCGAAGGCTTCAAGAAGCGAGTGGCCAAATTTTCAAGCTCACCTCCTTTCATCGTGCTTTCGCTGCTCATAATGAACTAATTCAAAGATTATTGTGATACAAAGCTCTTCATGGGGCACGATACTGAGGAGGGAGAGAAAGAATGTGGCTTTCGAAGGCTACAAGAAGCGAGTGGCAAAACTTTCAAGCTCACCTCCTCGCATCATGATTTTGTGGGTCATGATGAACTAATTCAAAGAATATTGTGATACAAGGCTCTTCATTAGGCACAATACTGAGGAGGGAGGGAAGGAATGTGGTTTTCGAAGGCTACACTAAGCGAGTGGCAACACTTTGAAGCTCACCTCCTCGCATCACGCTTTCGCAGCTCATAATGAACGAATTCAGAGATTGTGATACAAGGTTCTTCATGGGGCACGATACTGAGGATG